AGTCCATCTCCTATTAGCTTAGGGAGGGTTAACCCAATTGTGCAGGTTGTTAAATCATTGTTTGATTTTGGTCCTGTGTGTGTGTTTGCCCCATATTTGTGTTTGTCATTATTGATTCTCTGAGGGTTGGTTTTGTGCTACTGTCAGTGTGCATTGGTTCCCCCTGCTCCCCTCCTAACCTCCGCCCTGGTCAGTGGTGTGACCTTCAGGGCTCTCTGACCTGCCATTCCAACCCCCCTCATCACACCCAGTCAACCTGCTCCCTCCCTGGTCTCCTGTCCGGTGCCTGGGGCTACCACCAGCACCACTCACAAAAAGAGCCCTAATTGAGTCGGCCGGGAGAAGCAGCTGTGCCATAGAGCTGGAAGGCAGCCAGACAGCATCGGTCACTGCGGAACCAACCACGGAAACAGCAGAACAGGGCTGTCCCTGGTCTCGCTGCCAGGTGATTGGCTGTACCTGGTGATCATGTGACCAGGTGCTGGCTGGATGTGCTTTCAACATCTGACACAGTTGAGAGGGAGATGGGATGGAGACTGTCACTGCTACCGAAATGGGGTAAGGTTTTCCTTTCTTTTTTCTTTTTTTTTTAAAGACCCCCCTCTTCCTTTCTACGATGGACAAAAAATGGAGAAACGTTTTTTTTTATTCTGTCTGTTAATGGGGATTAGGGGCAGGCAGGGAGCTCCTAGGGGGAATAATGGTGTGTTTGTGTGAATAGCGAGGCATAGCCACTAAGCCTTTTGTTTTGATGGTTGGTTGGTGGGAGCGTGAGAGGCAGAGAGTGAGGGAGGCAGGGAGAGAGAGGAGGAGAAGGACAGGGAGGGTGTGGGGGATGTGCATTCATTGCATCGATCTTCTCTACTCTCACTTTATCATCACTGCAAGGGCTGTGTAAAAAAGGGCTGCATTGTGCTTGAGGAGGAAAGAAAAAAAGGATTGGGAAAATGCCATGAAGCAGTGAAGGAGAACCTGCTCATGGCCAAATGCCCAAAATGTCAGTGCTGCTGGTGTGTGTGGTGTACTAAGATGGTGGAGGAGAAGAGAGTGGGCTGGTCCTTAGGATTCTGCTGGTTAGCCTAGCTACTGGTTATGCTCAAACAAAGCAGACTTGTCATTGTGGGTGTGTGATGCTGTCTTTCTCTGGATGCTGTAGGGTTGCTATGGGGTTAGTCTGTCGGTGGTTGTGTTGTCTTAGTCTGTGTTGACATCGCCATTCGTTAATCCCTGGTTGTATTGTGCAGTGTAGCGCCGGGTTAGTTGGGCTAAGTGTAGGCTAACGCCACTAAGTGGCTGCCTACTGTTTCTTTGTGGTGTCAAGGGAAGGGTATTTGACGCTCTGCAGCTGACTGCAGGATTTTTCTGGTCTAGCTATCTGCTGAGGGGGTATCCATCCATACAGTGTCCCACACACACATCCTCACCCACATACACACACCCTCACCCACACACACACCCTCACCCACATGCGCACATGCAGAAAACCTTATCCATCCAGTGCAGTGCTACATTCACTGCCAGTGTCAGGCGAAAGGGAAATGTGAGCTCCTGCCTGGTTGTTTTATCGTGTCAAGATGGAATCCTCATTTGGAGAGAGGAAGACATTTACACGGTGGGTAGGATGCAGAGGCTCTGAATTGTTAACCATTATTGATGGACTGACACAATGATGATCTTTCTTTTTCATTATTCATTATAATGCACCAGCAAGCATCAACCGGTAAAATTGATGATTTTAGAATTTGCTCAATTTAAGCAGTGGATGCATTTTGAGAACATTGATGCAATATTCATGAGGTAGAAAGAGGCAGTCCTCTTCTTCCTCAGCCGCCTCTCTGTTTGTTCTTTCATTCGTTCTTTCTCCCCTTTTGCTTCTCCTCGCTCACACCCCCCTTAAACCCTTTGTAGGCTAAATTTGACAGGTTTATATGGTAGTGCTATTAGCGGTTTGCTTTGTTCAATGTTGTTGCTTTGTTTTCTCTATCTAGAGATATTACTGGTTTTTAGTGGGCTGAATTCTGTGGGGGTATAGATAAGTATGCAGAGGGAGTGGACATGGTAAGATTATATATATATATATATATATATATATTTTTTTTTACCTACATGCTTTGTGTGTATTGTGCAGATTGGCATTAGTCTACATTGTATTTGTCGGTTAGATTAGTCGTAAAAAAAGATTAGCAGTGTTTTCATCCATGGCCTAGCCTAGAGTTTAATGCACACTATTTTCACCTAGAAGGGAGATCAATGTAGCCTACTAGCCTAATTCAAATATCAGTGCATTAGCCTAATATCTGGAGGAAATGAATTACTTAATCTTGAGAGGCTATTACACTGTACATTATGGGGCTGTACAGGAGAAGTAGACTAATATGGAAGTAGTGCGATGATGGAGATGCAGATGGGCCTAATTTGATAATTTGATTAGGAACTGATGTGGATGTTGACGTAATTGCTAATGCAATTATGGACCTGGGAAAAGGAAAGGGTGATACCTAGCTAGTCAGTTGCACAACTGAATGCATTCAACTGAAATCTATCTTCCACATAGAGGCTTGTGTAATTTCTATTACAATTTGTGTAATTATCTGTCAGGAAGGTAGGCTATCTATAACACCATCAGCCATATTCACTATAATACAATAGTTTTAATGTTGATACGACACTGGGGTGCAGTGAAACAATCATCCCAGCATTGCAACCTCATCATCCCAGCACCCTTCAGAGTCAGCAGTATACTGGCTGTTAAATTATGGCGATGATAAGTGCTCTCTCTATTTTATGGCGAAGGCTGGAATTGAATCTCCAAAATGGCCGCCAATTGAACTACCTCAGTCTGCATCTGCAAACAGGGGCATGTCTTTTGGCTCACCTGCAGTTCTCCCCTGTATTGTAAATGCATGAAGTGGCAGTGTATCAATAAAAATAAATGGCCCTCCCCCGATCCAGTTTTGGTGATGGTGTAGATTTACACGTTGTTTTGGTTACCCCTGCGCATCAGCCAGTGCATTGACAGAATTCACAGGATGGTTCAGGAATGTTGAATATTAGGCTTAGGTGGTTCTGGAATGCTCCTGAGTGTTCTTCTCTGCTCATCCTGTGTATAGGATCCATCCTAGTGAGGGCAATATTGACATTTTGGGACAGACTCACTGCCCAATCAACCCAGTCTAATTGACTCATTGAATTCAGTTGGATCAGCATTGGAATTGCTTGTCTAGAACTTTGGCAAACAAATACTTTTAGCCTAGGCAACCAGAACAATGTTGCAACCAATGCCATGGTTCAGAATTACTAATAGGGCACTGTGAAGTTGATTTGATTAGTCAATGTCGACCAGTGGATAATATAGGCCACTGTGTGGGCTAGTTAGTTAGGTCTATGCTATATGCTCACAGATAAAGCCTTCTGCCACACATAACTGGCAAAGGTAGAGATCCCAAAGGCCTACATGCCAAGGCCATTGCTGATATTTAACATGTCACTAATAATTTAGTAACAGAGTGATACATTTTTCCACCGCAGTGATCTAGTTACTACTCGCCCGCTTGCTGCTTCCCTCCACCCTCTCCATAATGGATGATCTAAAAATACAAACTTTTCCTCAGCAAGACGGGTGAGCCCCCCTCTGTCGTGTAGAGTTGTCTTCACATGGCAGTATGGGGCTGTTTGGTGCGTGAGTAATGGTGTTCCCTTGGCTGCCCGACCCATCTTCTGTCTTCTAGAACTCCTCTTCTCAGCTGATATCCGCAAGAGCGAGGTTAACACATTAATAAGCCTGCCTTAAACGTGGCCTAGTTGGAATGCACTGTATGGTATGTGGTCCTTAGTCAGATACATCAAGTGTATAGCCCACATATTGGCCCTAAATTGCAGAGATTTTGACGTCAGTGGACATGGCCTATGTCGTATGGAATATCAATATCGTGTTGTAGACTGTGCTTAATCTGTTTATCGTTATATTATATATGTTTTCTATTTGATTAGGTAGTACTGCTTATGGCCATGTACATTGAGAATGGAGTGGATGGCATGTCCGTGGTAGTTGGCAATGAACCACTTGACAGGTGGGATGGCACCATTCTGCTCTGGCTGCTGCTGCTCTTCCCATCAGTGTCTGCCTGTGGATTGGGCTTCCTTTGCAGTGAAGATTATCAGTTGAAATAATTTGACCTTTTATCTTCTTTCGTTATATCCTCTTTCTATTCGTGTGTCTAAGCAATATTGTTTTAGAATACATTTAGCTAAAAGTTAGCCTAATAACAAACCTACTACTGTACAATTTAAGGTGAAAGCCAGAATTATCATAATTATGTTCACTTCCATCAAGTTTCATTTGTTCAAAATACAAAAAATACAAAATCCTAGAAGAAAAAACCGACACTGCTTGCAAAATCTGCCCGGGCGTGAATTATTCATAAGCCTAGTGTGTTAAAACCGGTGTGTGCGTGTGTGAAAATTGCTCTTATCCCAAAGCTATATAAATAATTTATGGTTCTGATTCTCTAGATCTGACCCTACTTTCTCAGAAATTTTTAATTGAATCTTGCGTAATGACTTTTAATTTAATACGATCCACTGCTCTCTTACTCTGAGCCTTCTATGACCCACGTGCTTGGGCCCTCAAGCAACTGGCCCTGTCAAGGCTAGCCTAAGTCCTGCCTGTGTAGCAGAAAAAGTTTTAAATTATCATCTAGGCTAACCATTGCTGAACATGTATTTTCCATGGAGCCATCAATGTAATGGTGATAGTGAATGTATCAAGGATTTAATAACCTATTTTCTCTTATGAGTTGGATATTAATTGACTTTACATGTCATGATCACTTACTCACCACTGACTGTAATGTAATTTTACCCATCAATCAAAATGTAGGCCTAATGGATTAATGACGATTAGGCAACGTCTGTTTTATGGGCAATTTTCCAGTGATAGGCGGAGCTGAAAAAACCTTAACGGTCGTAATGTGTCCTCTTAGGTCAAGAGGTAGTCCAAGATGGCTGCAGCGTCTTATGATCAGCTGCTGAAGCAAGTGGAGGTACTGAAGATGGAGAACTCCAACCTTCGACAAGAGCTTGAGGACAACTCGAACCACTTGACCAAACTGGAGACTGAAGCCTCCAATATGAAGGTAAAAGGCAGAAAACAGATTTTCTATTATTTACTAAGAAACCAGGTTTGTTCATTATGGCACAGTGTAGCAAACAGGCTTTTCTTATTGGATAAGTACAGATGGTAGGCTCTCTCCCCGTTCCACTCCTTTTCTAAGCTTTCCCTTCCGTTTCATGCCTACTGAACACAACCCAGCTTTTCCTAGTACCTAGGGCCCTAAAAAATATGCGTTGCGGAGAATGCAGACGGAATCACGGAATCCAGACATTAAAACGGAATTCAACACTATTCAAAAATGTATTGAACTTAGTAGGAAATCAACTAAATCTATTGAATTTATTCGAAAATGCATTAATTTGCGCAAGTGAATCATAAGACATGAAGGAACAAAATCCATCAATGATTCAAATTGTCTTGCAACTTTCTGAAACGGCATAGGAATGCCCGTCTGTGTGTGTGGCGCGACGTATGCCTACACTTTGTGTAGCTGTTAGCGATGATGCTAATGATAACCTTCTTCTGGTAGAGATGGAAAGGCTTTCCCTATCTGGCAGAATGATATGATTATTTGCATCAATCCAGTGGCCATTTTTTTTGCAAACTCTGCAATCACATGAGTGCAGCAGCAATACCGGGCTCTTCCTGGTGCTCACTTGCATTAAAGGCTAACTTCACCCAAAAATTGACATTTCAAAAAAAAAAATCCCAGACCTCAATTTTTCTCCTGATGTGGTTTAAACATTGATGTGGACTTAACATCTAATGTAATCGTTTTTCTATAAATAAATTAAAAAGTGTGTTTTGAGAGTGAAAACATGGGGAAACTGATATCTGGAAAAAGAAAACAGAATTAGGAAAAAAGCTTTTAGGGCCCTACGTACCCCAATGCTTGAATTGTGCCCTTTTGTTTTGGCACGTCCTGAAAACCGTAAAACGCTAAAGCAGCAACCTTTTAGAGTCCATTGTGCTCATGTTTGATCTGGTGTCTGTTATGGTGTTAGTCAATGGCATGGCTCTATGTTTTTTTATGTTTTATCCCTTAGGAGCTTTTGGGGATTTTATTTGCCTTACATGTCATTTTGAGGGTAGAGAGGGTTGAATTTGACATGCATCTGCCAACCAATCGAAAACCAGATGTCACAGACATAACCAATCAGCCTATAGCTAGCTATCTTGATTTTTATGTATTCTATAAATAAGCTTTGCTGTACAATTTAAAGGTAAAATACACTGCATTTCAAACAGTCAGCAATAATCTAATGAATTCAGGGCTTGTGAAATTATACTTAGGCTAAGTATAAGCCTTCCACAACCATAAAACCCACTAATAATTACATTATTTTATCAAAATAGTTTAATCTGCTTTTTTGCACTAATCACTGATCTGGCTTTCAAATCTATGAAAATGCACTTTTGTTTACAAATTTAGCCACAACCATGCATAATGCACATTCACTAATAATGACTAACTTCTTATAGCATGCATTATAGAAAATGAACACAGGTCTCATGAACAATCTCAAGCACAAGCCCACGTGCTAGTGAGTAGCCAGCTGATCTTTATATTTAAAGTCTAGCCAACTTGGATCTATTTGCTAGCTAACAAGGTTGAACAGTTTAATTGTAATAAACACACCCTTCTGTCCATCTCCAACTGTTTGAACAGTATGCTAGCCAGTCCACTTTGTTCAGATGTTGAAATCAAGTGGCCTACCTTATTCTCAGAATGAGAACGAGTTGCCAATTCCTTATATAATAGTTGTTTTATGCTCATTGCACATTTGTAAAACAGACAAGACAGCTAGTCTGTGGCTAAAATGCTGCTAGCGGTACGTGCTACTGCAATACCAAGCGCAACAGAAACTGAGCATTCATTTTCCAGAATCAATGTTCATTGATGCTCCCCTTTTAGTAGGGTCTGCTCTTCGTGCAATTTGAGGAGTTGAAACATAAAAGGTTGTTGTTTAGAAAAGGTTAACCTCTCCTCTATTACAGTAAAATGTCTCAATGTGTTTGTCCATATGATGGATTCTGTTGGACCAAACAGCAAATAGCGAGTTGAAACCGCTTGTTGTGAGAAAGGAAGATGTGATCTTTAATCTTTGTTCTTGTGGCAAGGTGAGGGGCTTGGTGTCTGTGTGGGCGTGGGAAGTTGCACAGAAGGAGCGAAGGAGACGAGACCAAAAAGACATGAGAACAAGCGGACATAAAAGCTCAAAAACAAAAATACAAAAAAACTTTATTGCGATACAGGCATTTGGAATATTGTGCAAAAACATACATTCAAATGAATTGAATTAATTCTATGTATTGCCCAACCCTACTTACTAGCTGTCAAATCTTTGTTTTCTCCGCCCTTGTTTAATCAATTCCTCTGAAAGCTCATTGGAGGTCCAAGGGAGGGACCGTTGATCCTCTCCTCCAATGCACTTTGAGAGGTTTTGAGGAAAGATTTGGTTATTAACACTTTCAGACACAGCCTAAGTCTGTGTTCATGAGAGGAGCTGTCATCCTGGGCTAGGCTGCTGAATGTCTCACACACTCACACAGACAGAGGGGTTGGATGTGCCAGCCTGCTTGGTTACATAATTGGATGATGTGACCTGGCAGGCTGAGGATACAGGAGGTGATTTAACTCCCAGGGCTTTTCTCTTCTCACAGGAACATTTTGGTTCTCAACAGTCTTTGTCAATGTCTTCTACCCCACAATGCACCCCTGGGTAGTCAGGGGTGCCACCTCACATTAGTGAGCGCTACTCTCTTACGTGTGGCAGTGAATGTAGTTGGGAAACACACTCCAATATACTTCTCGTCTCCTGATCATGAATTTGTAAGAAAGAGGGGCAGTGAAATGAAAACAAGAGAAGGAAAGTGGATGTGATGATGGTTTAGTTGCTGAAATTGTACCAAGGGCCATTTTGTTTCTCAGGTTAAAAACTCAAAGCTTTACTGACCCTGTTTTTCCACACAAGAATATTGAGCCTATTATAGGGCAGCTACATGATAAGAATGGGGGATATACTCCCCCTGTTCATGTGTGTGGCCTGTAACGCTTATCTCAATGTTCTATATAAAGACACAATACTGTGTATAGGCCTGCTAGTTTACAGACATTTAGTCTGGGCATTATGTAAATGTTGTCTAATGTAACAGTAACCCAAAATGACCGCACATTCACTGCCGCCATATTTTCTTGGATGCAAACAGCCGGCAGTAGAAGATTAGTCCATGCATTATTCATCCTAGCCAATTTACACGCTAGTAGCCTGGGAGCCAATATAATGAATCTAGCCACCCAGTCCCTTTAGCAGGGAGGAGAGGGAGCTTATGACGATCTAAACCGTCTTTATCTTCCGACTTCCCCCACCCATTTTATTTTCTTAGTGTGCGTCCCAAATGGCACCCTATATGGTGCGCTACTATGGTCCCTGTCAAAAGTAGTGCACTACAGTGCCTTCTGAAAAGTATTTACACCCCTTGACTTTTCCACATTATGTTGTGTTTCAGCCTGAATTTTAAATTGATTCAATTGAGACTTTGTGTCACTGTCCCACACACAATACCCCATAATGTCAAAGTGCAATTAGCTATGTTTTTACACATTTTTACAATTAATTAAAAGTGAAATGATTAAATGTCTTGAGTCTAAGTGTTCAACCCTTTTATTATGGCAAGCCTAAATGTGCTCAAGTCCCATAATAAGTTGCATGGACTCACTCTGTGTGGGAATAATAGTGTTTAACATGATTTTTGAATGACCACCTCATCTCTGTACCCCACACATACAATTATCTGTAAGGTCCCTCAGTCGAGTAGTGAATTTCAAACCCGATTCAACCACAAAGACCAGGGACGTTTTCCAATGCCTTACAAAGAAGGGCACCTATTGGTAGATGGGTACAAATAAAATAAAAAAGCAGACATTGAAAATCCCTTTGAGCATGGTGAAGTTATTAATTACACTTTGAATGGTGTATCAATACACCCAGTCACTTCAAAGATAGATACAGGTGTACTTTCTAACTCCGTTACCGGAGAGGAAGGAAACGGCTCAGGGATTTCACTATGAGGCCAATGGTGACTTTAAAACAGTTGCAGAGTTTAATGGCTGTGACAGGAGAAAATTGAAGATGGATCACTCCACAATACTAACCTCTAATGAGAGTGAAAAGAAGGAAGCCTTTACGGAATAAAAAATATTCCAAAACATGCATCCCTTATGCAGTAAGGCACTAAAGTAAAAATGTAGCAAAGAAATTAACTTTGTCTGAATACAAAGTGCTATGTTTGGGGCAAATCTAACAATGCATTACTGAGGACCACTCATATTTTCAAGCATGGTAGTGGCCGCATCATGTTGTTTTGGTATTTTATTAGGATCCCCATTTAGCTGTTGCAAAAGCAGTAGCTACTCTTCCTGGGGTCCACACAAAACATGAAATAATACAGAACATTAATAGACAACAGCTCAAGTACAGAACTACATACAGTTTCTATTTATTTTTTTGTTGCAAAAGGCACACGTAGCCTACATATCAATACATATACACAAACTATCTAGGTCGAATAGGGGAGAGGCATTGTGCCATGAGGTGTTGCTTTATCTGTTTTTTGAAGCCAGGTTTGCTGTTCACATGAGCAATATAAGATGGAACTGAGTTCCATGCAATAATGGCTCTATGTAATACTGTACGCTTTCTTGAATTTGTTCTGGATTTAGGGACTTTGAAAAGACCCCTGGTGGCATGTTATGGGTATGCTTGTCATCGGCAAGGACTATGGAGTTTTTTTAGGATAAAAAAAACAAAACAGAATAGAGCTAAGCAGGCAAAATCCTAGAGGAAAACCTGGTTGTCTGCTTTCCAACAGACACTGGGAGACTAATTCACCTTTCAGCAGGACAATACCCTAAAACACAAGGCCAAATATACACTGGATTTGCTTACCAAGATGACGTTGAATGTTCCTGAGTGGCCTAGTTACAGTTTTGACTTAAATCGGCTTGAAAATCTATGGCAAGACTTGAAAATGGCTGTCTAGCAATGATCAACAACCAATTTGACAGTTTGAATAATTTCTTTAAGAATGTGCTAATATTTTACAAGCCAGGTGTGCAAAGCTCTTAGACTTGCCCAGAAAGACTCACAGCTGTAATCGCTGCCAAAGGTGGTTCTAACACACTTGTGTCAATTCGATTTCTGTATTTCATTTTCAATACATTTGGCAACAATTCTAAAAACATGCTTACACTTTGTCATTATGGGGCGTTGTGTGTAGATTGGTCCCCCAATTATTATTTTTTAAATTCCTTTTCAATTCATGCTGTAATACAACAAAATGTGGAATAAGTCCAGGGGTATTAATTATTTATTTCTGAAGGCATAGGGTGCCATTTGGGACGTAGACTCAATGTGAATGAAAGAGAATTTGGCTGTGCAGACAGATACCAACTAGCCAGCTAACCAGCCAGCCCCTCCATCTCTTTCTTACCCCAGAGGCAGGCAGCGCTCCCTGGGTTGGCTTCAGTATGTCAGCGCCTCCCTGGAGGATGGATGGTGCTATACCATGCATGCTAATGAGGAGATGGCTGGCTAGGGGGGCTCCCTACTCCCTAGCCCATGAAGTAGAGTATCTTAAATAAGACATCGGTCTTATCTCCCCCCTTCCCCAACAAAAATAAAACCCTTGCGCTTGTCTTTTCCTGCTTGCACTGACTTTGCTGATAAAGTCTTTGTTACTTACTGTGATATGTGGTTGTCTCTCCTAGCTATCTTAAGATGAATGCACTAACTGCAAGTCACTCTGGATATGAGCGTCTGCTAAATTACTGAAATGTAAGTAAAGTCAAGACTGCATATCCTTTCCTGAATCCCAAATCAACCCCTAGCCTCTACCCTTTGTGTTGATCTGACAGGATGGTAGTAGGCTGGTAGCTCCTATCTTGCCCTCTGATAGACTATGTGGAATTGTTGCCATATTGCTTACACCAATCTAATCCTCTCTGATCTAATCAAATGCCTAGGGCATGCAGGCTAAGGTTTGATTTGTTATTCAGTGTGAGAGCTCACTGCTTTTGTAGAGCTTTTTTCCGATGTAGCCTTTTCATTTCCTGGTAATAACACAGTGTACGGACTCACAGCATCACAGCATGTAGGGACTTGCTTAGGTATATTTTTGGTGCAAGCTTAGTCAGTCATTAGCTATTAGTCATTGATGGGGAGAGTCTTACAGTATGTGTCATCAGTCTTACTCACAGTATCTGAGACTGTCTACACACTTTCCAGTATTTTTGGAGCTGGTTGGGGTTTGAGTGAGGGGCTCTGCGCTGCCCTTAGCTGGGGAGAGTCTTCCTTTGTTAGTCTTCCAACACTGTTGACACATCCTTTATCTCAGTAGGTTTGGAGCTGAGTTTGGGGTTTGCCTCAGTCTCACTTTTGGGTGAATGTGAGGCAAGGGGTCTGCCGGCTCTACCCTTAGCTAAGTAGCAGTGCTGAATGTGCCACTCTAACTATTAACAATGCACTCAATCAACTCTGCCTCTGCGTAGTCTGTGTCTGCTCTGGCTCAAATGGAAAATCCTGCCAACTCAGTGAATTTAGTAAGCCTAGGGCTATGCTACCTGCTACTCTGCAAACAGATATTTCACATTTGGGGGGGGGGGGGGGGGGGTGTGTAGCTGCAGATACAGAATCAGCCTGGGTTTGGCTTAGGGATTTTAAGGAGATATCAAATAAATAAGAAAATGTGTTAAAAAACAGAAATGTTCAAGTTTTAGTAATTGTCACAGTTGAGCTATGCTCTCCGTTCCATGATCTAAAGATATTATGAATAACCAGACATTGATACTGTAAACGGTTAATGAGTCACATTTTATTAGTTGTATAATGTGGATAGCAATGTCCTCATCAACAGTAAAAGATAAGAAATGTTATTTCATGGTCGCACGCCGACAGTTGGTTTAAGTGCGCAAAACCTTTTATTTTGTTAGAGCTCTATTGTGATTCAGTTCAGTTTGTGCCTGTTGCAACTTCCAGTTTTTATTGTCCCCCACGATGAAATCAGGGAAGGGACTGTGGATCTGTCTCCATCCGCTAGTATGTTCGTATGTTTGTTTGTCACCTACGATATCTCAGACCACACTGGCCCGATTTTTGATGAAACTTGGGTAAATGATGCTTCTTACCGTAGAGATCTGGCATTTACAAAATGACCCTGATTGGCCCAAGGGGGGTGCTGCAGAATTCGTGGGTGATATGTTTACTGTTGCCTTGTTTTCTTTTGTAAATACTTGTACAGTTTTCACCGGCTTATTCTTCACTTGATAGTAAAAATCCTCACTCTGGCAAGAACAAACACACCATCGTATGCCTCCTCACTGTAAAATCTAACCACTGGGCCAACTTCACAATAATCTTTGCACTTGGTGCCACAGCAGCATTCATTGTGTTGACCTGTATTGTTTTTATTTCCTTCCTGGACTATATAGCGCCATAGTGTGTGTGCCTTAGAGAGAGCAGCCTACTGCATCCTGCTTACTAAATAGTTTTTAGCCTAATACTTGGCCTAGTCTGAAGTAAATTAAGTGTTTTGTTGGTTAACGGTAGCCTAAGTAGTAAAATCACAGTGACTTAGTGCAAGGATTCTGCAGGTCCTAAATAGGGGGAAGGGTTATCATTTGCAACCAAGTGAAGTATTATGCCTATCTTGTAGTAATATGACCTCCATAGTATTCCTTACTGGGTAGAACCACTGTTGAGATAATACATAATTAGATAATTGAAGGGGTGGATAATGTTTATGACTAATGGATGAGATTACAAACAGTCTGCCTTTTCCCCTGTGGTAATCAGTCTCATATTCATCAGAAACAATATCTTCCTCTCTGGCACGTTTAGAGCACGCTTGCACACACACAGACACTGCTGCTTCTGAGACGCTCCCTTCCCTCTGCACCTCAAGGAAGGCAGGACGTCTTTTTTTTAGTGTCTCTCCTTTCCACACATTGTATCTGATGAATGCGCCTCTCTCATTTCCGTCCTCCAGCCATTTCCTCTCTCCTCAGGGCTCAGGGGGCCGCGTCCCAAAAGGCACCCTATTCCCTTCAGAGTGCACTACTTTTGACCAGGGCCAATAGGGCTCTGGTCAAAAGTAGTGCACTATATAGGGAATAAGGTGCCATTTGGGATGCGGACAGGCTCACAGATGCAGGGAGACAAGAGGCGAGCACAAACACCACACTCTTCATCATTGAGCACAGAGCAGGCTTCCTCTCTTTCCTACCCACCAAGCCAATTACACACAGCAAAACGAGCTCCATTTTAGTTAGATAATTATGTTTACAAACACTCAAGCACTCACTCAATTTGAACTTATCTTATGCAGCCTACTTAACATACGCTTTAGATAAGTACTACACCTCTAACAATCTTCAATCATGTCATCCTGTGTGTGTAAAGGAATTATATGAAGTGAAATGTTGCATGTGATATCTGAAGTTCCTGGCAGAATGTTTCTGAAGAAGTTGGCTGACTTTAAATGCCTTTTGACAACTAGTGGCTCATTCCCAGTGACAACTGTCAAGCCAGGATTGCATCCCAAAAAGCACTCTATTCCCTACGTAGTGCGCTACTTTTGACCAGAACCATATAGACCCTGGTCAAAAGTAGTGCACTATATAAAAAATAGGGTGCTATGTGGGACACAGCCGATGTTCAGGCAGCTTTGGGATCCAGATGGGAGAAGGAATTATTCCAGTTAGGAGTGACAGTGTCCTGTCATGGCGTATCAAAGAGTGTGGCTTTGATTCTCTTCATGTCATGTTGTAGCAAAGGAACAGTCATAAGATGACTCAGCAATATGACATCATCCAAGGTCTTTGTTTGTGTGTGTCTTCTAGGGCTGACCCCAATTAGTTGAGTGGTCGATTGTTTGGTTGTTAGGCTGTTGATCGACCGAGATTGTTTTAGTCGTGTGTGTTATACAGTACCAGTCAAAAGTTTGGACACACCTACTCATTCCAGGGTTTTTCTTTATTTTTACTATTTTCTACATTGTATAATAATAGTGAAGACATCAAAACTATGAAATAACACATATGGAATCATGTAGTAACCAAAAAAGTGTTAAACAAATCAAAATATATTTTATATTTGAGATTCTTCAAATAGCCACCCTTTGCCTTGATGACAGCTTTGCACACTCTTGGCATTCTCTCAACCAGCTTCATGAGGTAGTCACCTGGAATGCATTTCAATTAACAGCTGTGCCTTCTTAAAAGTTAATTTGTTTAATTTCTTTCCTTATTGCATTTGTGCCAATCAGTTGTGTTGAGACAAGGTAGGTGGGGTATACAGAAGATAGCCCTATTTGGTAAAAGACCACGTCCATATTATGGCAAGAACAGCTCAAATAAGCAAAGAGAAATGACACTCCATCATTACTTTAAGACATGAAGGTCAGTCAATACGGAACATTTCAAGAACTTTGAAAGTTTATTCAAGTGCAGTCACAAAAACCATCAAGCGCTATGATGAAACTGGCTCTCATGAGGACCACAACAGGAATGGAAGACCCAGAGTTACCTCTGCTGCAGAGGATAAGTTCATTATAGTTACCAGCCTCAGAAATTGCAGGCCAAATAAATGCTTCAGAGTTCAAGTATCAGACACATCTCAGCATCAACTGTTCAGAGGAGACTGTGTGAATAAGGCCTTCATGGTCGAATTGCTGCAAAGAAACCACTACTAAAGGACACCAATAAGAAGAAGCTCTTATCCAGAGCGACTGGTATACACTACCAGTCAAAAGTTTGGACACCTACTCATTCAAGGGTTTGCACACTCTTGGTATTTTCTCAACCAGCTTCACCTGGAATGCTTTTCCAACAGTCTTGAAGGAGTTCCCACATGCTGAGCACTTGTTGGCTACTTTTACTTCACTTTGCTGTCCGACTCATCCCAAACCATCTCAATTGAGTTGAGGTCGGGGGATTGTGGAGGCCAGGAAATCTGATGCAGCACTCCATCACTCTCCTTCTTGGTAAAATAGCCCTTACACAGCCTGGAGGTGTGTTGGGTCACTGTCCTGTTGAAAAACAAATTATAGTCCCACTAAGCCCAAACCAGATGGGATGGCGTATCGCTGCAGAATGCTGTGGTAGCCATGCCGGGTAAATGTGCCTTGAATTCTAAATCAATCACAGACAGTGTTGCAAAGCACCCCCAAAGCACCCCCACACCATAACACCTCCTCTTCCATGCTTTACGGTGGGAACTACACATGCGGAGATCATCCGTTCACCCACACCGCGTCTCACAAAGACACGGCGGTTGGAACCAACAATCTCCAATTTGGACTCCAGACCAAAGGATACATTTCCACCGTTCTAATGTCCATTGCTCGTGTTTCTTGGCCCAAGCAGGTCTCTTCTTATTGGTGTCCTTTAGTAGTGGTTTCTTTGCAGCAATTCGACCATGAAGGCCTGATTCACACAGTCCCCTCTGAACAGTTGATGTTGAGATGTGTCTGTGACTTGAACTCTGTGAAGCATTTATTTTGCCTGCAATTTCTGAGGCTGGTAACTCTAATGAACTTATCCTCTGCAGAAGAGGTAAATCTGGGTCTTCCATTCCTGTGGCGGTCCTCCTGAGAGCCCGTTTCATCATAGCGCATGATGGTTTTTGCGACTGCACTAGAAGAAACTTTAAAAGTTCTTGAAATGTTCCGTGTTGACTGACCTTCATGTCTTAAAGTAATGATGGACTGTCGTTTCTCTTTGCTTATTTGAGCTGTTCTTGCCATAATATGGACTTGGTCTTTTACCAAATAGGGCTATCTTCTGTATACCTCCCCTACCTCATTTCTGGTCTACCTTAATCATAAAATTACACAAAACAAATCTATGGTGATGTTGGTCTCTTAAGTATAGTAGTTAGGATACTTCACTCATTAGTCTCGTAATCTAATCCCACCACCCTCCACGCCTGCCTTCCATGACAACATCAATGCTTGTTTTTTCCATATTGTGCATCATATGTCGTGATATTTTTTTACATCTCATTCTCAAGGACATTTACAGTCAGTATAGTACAAAAGCAGGACATGGCCTAGCCCCTCTCTCCCACCAAGACACATGCACTCTCCCTCCCCCACCCAGGCTCACATGCCAACCAACAACCAAACCCCAGGGCCTTGTGGGAGCCCAGCTCAGATGAAACGAGAGCCTGATGATAGACACCCCGGCGTGCTGGGCTCTGGCTCTGCAGATGGGTACTTTTAAAGCATCGATTTCCATTACTGGGAGTATAGGGTGACTTTTTTAAAAGCCTGTGTGTAGTGTGTGTGTGTGTTGTAGAGGGAATGCTGCAGCACTAATCACTCTGCAGGGATGCCCTCGTCATATTCTAGCCGGTCTCTCTGTTGGATTTACTTATTGTGTGCAAGAAGGGTTGGGCGGTATCCAGATTTTCATACCTTCATACCGTTCCTGTACCATTCCGGGGTATACGGTATTACCGGCAGTGTAATGAAGGGGCGCTATTTCATTCCAAATGTTAAGAAATAAACCTTGACGTACAAAACAAATGTAGGCAGCAGGGATCTTGATCCAGGAGGGGATTGATTGTCTCTGCTGTAACCAAGAAGCTTAATCTTGCAAGCTAGCCACTTAGCTAGCAAGTTAGCAAGCCCTGAGCTGGAGTTAATTTATTTGGCACATTTTAGATAGGCCTATAATAGCTTTAGTGTGCTTGTGCTTGCCTTGCAGTAATGATTAGCCCGTCGTCAACTTAATTTAATCTCAATGACCCGGTGATTATTTAAGCAATAAGACCTGAGGAGGTGTGGTATATGGCCAATATACCACAGCTAAGGGGTGTTCTTAGCCACGACGCAACGCATTGCATCATGCCTAAGAACAGCCCTTAGCCGTGGTATATTGGCCATATACCACAAACCCCCAAGGTGCCTTATTGCTATTATGAACTGGATATCAACGTAATTAGAGCTGTAAAAATAAATGTTTTGTCGTACCCGTGGTATACGGTCTGATATACCACAGCTGCCAGCCAATCAGCATTCAGGGCTCGAACAGCCCAGTTTATAAAAATTTTTTGGGACACATGTATTTGAGCTAAATTCCAACCATATTCATTGATAAAGGTAACCCAATTTAACAAATCACACCAAAAAATAAATACTCTGAAAATGTTATGCAATTAAAATAAACAAAAATGCGTTTTCCTTATGCGGAAAAAGTTAGTACACCAGTAACTTTACCATCACATTTAATGGCTAAAATTAGAATCAGGTGCACCAAAACAGGTGCAAATGATTTGGAAAATCATTAGAGAAACGTAGGAGGGTCCAGCCTTCCATAAAGATTAGAAACTTGGTCTGGTTAGGTCTTAACCATATGGGTGTGTGGTAACACATCATGCCAAGATCAAAAGACCTACCCGAGGCCCTCAGAAGAAAGATTATTGAGTCTGGGTGGGGTTAAAATCCAGACCACTGGCAATCTACCTAGGACAGGTCGTCCCACCAAATTCAGCCAAAGAGCTGAAGAACCCCAGGTTAACATCAAGGGATCTACAGGCCTCTCTTGCCACAATCAATGTCGAAGTACATGAGTCAACTGTCAGAAAGAGACTGCACAAACTTGGCCTACATGGGAGGTCAGGAAGGAAGAAGCCTCTGCTCTCAAAAAATAATATCAAGACACGACGGACGTTTGCCAGACAACACCTGGGTGAAGACCAAAACTACTGGAACAATGTGCTCTGGACAGATGAGTCAAAGTTGGAGTTGTTTGGCCGCAATGCCAGACTCCGTGTTTGGTGAAAATTAAACACTGCCTCTGAACAGAAGAACCTCATACCAACTGTAAAGCATGGAGGCGGTGGCATTATGGTTTGGGGCTGCCTCAGGGCCAACATGCCATCATTGAGTCAACCATGAATTCTATATTGTACCAGAGAATTCTTGAGGAGAATGTGAGGCTGTCAAAAAGCGGAAGCTGAACTGAACATGGATCTTGCAACAGGACAATGATCCAAAACACAAAAGCAAAGCTACAACAGAATGGCTCAAAAATAAGAAATGGAGGGTTATGGAATGGCCGAGTCAAAGCCCAGATCTCAATCCTATCGAAATGCTGTGGGAGACTTGAAGCGGGCCGTGCATGCAAGAAAGCCCTCGAACATGACACAGTTGAAGCAGTACTGTAAAGAAGAGTGGGCAAAAATTCCTCCCAGTCGATGTAAGAGACTGATAGATACTTACAAGAAATGTCTACATAAAAACATTTCAGCCAAAGGGGGCAACACAAGCTATTGAAGCTAGGGGTGTACTTATTTTTTCCGCACTATGGAATTGCATTTCTGTAGATTTTTGATGAATAAATGATTTCAAAGTATAATTTTTCAGTGTCATTTGTTAAATTAGGTTACCTTTATCTGTCAATAGTGTTGAAGTGAAGATTACATATCCATCTGTCCAAATATGTTTTTAAAAAAAGACAACTTTCCAGGGGGTGTACTTACTTTTTTTCCCCACTGTACAGTCATATGAAAAAGTATTGTCAGCCACCAAGTTCTCCCACTTAAAAAGATGAGAGAGGCCTGTAATTTTCATCATAGGTACACGTCAACTATGACAGACAAAATGAGAAAAAAAAATTCCAGATAATCACATTGTAGGATTTTTTATGAATTTATTTGCAAATTATGGTGGAAAAAGTATTTGGTCAATAACAAAAGTTTCTCAATACTTTTATATACCCTTTGTTGGCAATGACACAGGTCAAACGTTTTCTGTAAGTCTTCACAAGGTTTTCACACACTGTTGCTGGTATTTTGGCCCATTCCTCCATGCAGATCTCCTCTAGAGCAGTGATGTTTTGGGACTGTCGCTGGGCAACACAGACTTTCAACTCCCTCCAAAGATTTTCTATGGGGTTGAGATCTGGAGACTGGCTAGGCCACTCCAGGACCTTGAAATGCTTCTTACGAAGCCACTCCTTCGTTTCCCGGGCGGTGTGTTTGAGATCATTGTCATGCTGAAAGACCCAGCCAAGTTTCATCTTCAATGCCCTTGCTGATGGAAGGAGGTTTTCACTCAAAATCTCACGATACATGGCCCCATTCATTCTTTCCTTTACACGGATCAGTCATCCTGGTCCCTTTGCAGAAAAACAGCCCCAAAGCATGATGTTTCCACCCCCATGTTTCACAGTAGGTATGGTGTTCTTTGGATGCAACTCAGCATTCTTAGTCCTCCAAACACGACGAGTTGAGTTATTACCAAAAAGTTCTATTTTGGTTTCATCTGACCATATGACATTCTCCCAATCCTCTTCTGGATCATCCAAATGCACTCTAGCAAACTTCAGATGGGTCTGGACATGTACTGGCTTAAGCAGGGGGACACGTCTGGCACTGCAGGATTTGAGTCCCTGGCGGCGTAGTGTGTTACTGATGGTAGGCTTTGTTACTTTGGTCCCAGCTCTCTGCAGGTCATTCACTAGGTCCCCCCGTGTGGTTCTGGGATTTTTGCTCACCGTTCTTGTGATCATTTTGACCCCACGGGGTGAGATCTTGCGTGGAGCCCCAGATCGAGGGAGATTATCAGTGGTCTTGTATGTCTTCCATTTCCTAATAATTGCTCCCACAGTTGATTTCTTCAAACCAAGCTGCTTACGTATTGCAGATTCAGTCTTCCCAGCCTGGTGCAGGTCTACAATTTTGTTTCTGGTGTCCTTTGACAGCTCTTTGGTCTTGGCCATAGTGGAGTTTGGAGTGTGACTGTTTGAGGTTGTGGACAGGTGTCTTTTATACTGATAACAAGTTCAAACAGGTGCCATTAATACAGGTAACGAGTGGAGGACAGAGGAGCCTCTTAAAGAAGAAGTTACAGGTCTGTGAGAGCCAGAAATCTTGCTTGTTTGTTATTGACCAAATACTTATTTTCCACCATCATTTGCAAATAAATTCATTAAAAATCCTACAATGTGATTTTCTGGATTTTTTTTCCTCAATTTGTCTGACATAGTTGACGTGTACCTATGATGAAAATTACAGGCCTCTCTCATCTTTTTAAGTGGGAGAACTTGCACAATTGGTGGCTGACTAAATACTTTTTTCCCCACTGTATATGGATTCTCCTCTTGGTCTTTCATTTACGGTCAGCTAGTAGTCAGCTGTGTTCTCTTCTATTCACATGTTAGCAACAACATGTTTGTCACCCCTGATGGTCTGGATAGTGGTTCTGCTAGGAACTGCTGTGACTCAGAATAGAATGAAGGGCTCTTTATCATATGATCCCAGCCTGATAATGCAGCCATTGTTTGGTGCATCTGGACATCTCACACACTCTCCAGAGAGAGAGAGAGAGAGAGAGAGAGAGAACGCAACACACAGCCCGGTGTGTGTGTGTGTTTTTAGTTTTCTGCCATCGTTGGGCTCCAAACAAGCCCAGCCCTCCTGTCTGACCCTCTTTCAGCCCGCTCCTCGACGCATGAGCTAGGGTCAGAGGTCAAGGGGTAGAGGTCAGCGGACACTGACCCTCAGGGTCATCCGTTGGGAGTAAACCCTTCAATGTAATGCAGCTGGATGGATGTAGCCTCTGTGGCCTCTATCTGCTCTCTGGCTAGAGACAACCAGGATGGAAGGAAAGCCCTGTTTCCTGAGGGGGAGCCGCGTTGTCACCCGACATTATGTTGTCAGACATCGCTCCTCTGCTCTGATGCTTCGCTCTCCCCTCAGACTCACCGCAGGTCAGGAAACTACTCTTTCTCTTCCACTTACAAAATGGCATAACAATCTACCAAACTATAAAGACTCATTCAACCTGGAAAGAAATGTGTAGTAACTTTTAATGACCTGCAACACAAAATTGCAGTTAATACAATATAAGGTCCAAACTGTAGTACGGACATGATCGTATCCAGCCTCTTGTTCGTTACGCTGTATGATTCTGATTATAGGCCTAGTTGTTTTAACACTGGACTTATTATTCTCCTCTGTAGGTTCATTGTGGTAAGTCCTCCTGTAGCAAGGGAGTTTCAATAGGCTAATCAAGTTCATGATCTTTTTCCAGTCATGTTATGTAGAGCCGAGCAGTTAACTGATTTCTACATTTATGCAAACAGATTATGGACAGGACACGTACTCTAACAAACCCTGGCTTAGAGCGTTCTAGATCTGTAGATCTTTATAATGAGGTGTAGGCTACATTAGGTTGTGGGTTCAGAGTTCCGTTTTAAAATTGGTCGTTAATGGTACTATAAGTACTAAGTAGGCTGTTTTTAGGCTAGGGTTTAGGCTACATTCTTTAGAAAGAAAGCTTTTTATTTGTGGATGTAGGCCTGCAGCAAACAATGCATTGCTTGTCGGCTACTGTATGTCTGAGTTTGTTGGCCTGTAATGTAAAAAGACTAGAGACTGAGATGCACAAAAAAAAACAGTGCTCAAACTGACCTACAGGATGGCAGAAAATGTCACAAGTTGACTAAAGAGTAGAGTACACAGACAAATATCAGTCGAAAGAGAAGCATCCTCCCTTCAGTTCAATGCCACTATGGCATCAAAGGCTAATTTCTTAGAAAGCCATTAGTGGCATGCTCTTTAACCAATTCATTAGACCCATCCTTATCCAAGAAGAGTCATTTGTTTCTGAATAGCGACCACTTTGCTATGAAGTAACCCGCTCGTTGATGCTACTGTTGCCCTGTTGTTCTTCTAAAGAGGAACGCTCTTCCTCAAAGCCCTGACATTATTAGATGTGTCGCTCTGTTAACCTGATCGTGATGTTGGCTACCAAAGGTCCATTCATGTTCAGCTGGACAACATCTAATGACACACTGGCTGTAGAAAAGTGACTTCTAACAGTGTGATCAATGGCTGCTCACCTCATTCCACAGCTTGGGTGAGATCAAATAGGAAAAAGGCTTAGATTAAAGAACTAACTGGAGCCAGTCTGTAGGACTTCAGAGCTGAGGGATAAAGCGGGGGGAAGCTATTTGATGGCACTTCAAAGCCAGCAAATGGATGTTTTCCTCCTCTCTCTGTTCCACCCTGTCCTTCAGGCAGGATCACAAACCACCGGCTCCTTATCTCTGGGATGAGATAGTGGGGGGTTGAGCCAAAAATAATATTTTGCACTGCAGTGAGTCAGGTTGTGGTTTTGCTTGATGTTTTTCAGGTGTGAAATAACTTTGACTTTGTTTTTGAGTCAGATGTTGACTATCCCCCCCCAAACAACAAATGTGTGTTCCTGAACTCAAAGAACATTGCTGTTCTTTCCTGCTTTGGAAATATGTATGTGTACATATCACCTAGATAGCGGTCATATAAGCCTACAAGATGTTGTTCAGTGCTCTTCTTCGTGGTTGTGTGTTTACAAACAATACATTTAAAACACATTTGTTTTTTCTTTTGTTTCAGGAGGTGCTGAAACACCTACAGGGAAGCATTGAAGAAGACTCTACCGATTCATCCGAACAAATCAATCTCCTAGAAAGACTGAAAGGTAAGCTTCTCAGTCAGAGCCAGACCAATTGTAGGCTATGTAGGACTATTGTTGCACACACGAGGTGGCAGAATTGGCTCACTGAAACACAAAGATTCCATAAAATAACCTACATTTTATGTTCCTTCCTCCTGTAGAAATTAGCCTGGATCCTAACAGTTACCCAGGTGTGAAGCTGAGACCTAAGCCGCCCTCCATGCAGGGCACAGGCTCTGGGCGGTCAGGGGACAGCAGTCCCAGTCCCAGTCCTAGCCCAATGGGCTCCTTGGGCTCCTTCCCCAGGAGAGGGGTGTCCAATGGGGGCCAAGACAGTGCTGGCTACCTGGAAGAGCTGGAGAAGGAGAGGTGAGCTTCTATGCTTGTATTATAACACATTTCAACATTCGTCTATATACTGATTTTACTGGAACAGTAATATATTCACAGAATGTCTCGATCAGGTTCTAACTGATGGCTTCCTCTTGCATATGATGTATTTTCACATTTGTTTATACGTACGAGCAAAGCATTCTTGGCTATACACTCTGATTTACTGCAACAATATTCACGGGGGGCCAGTATGAAAAAAAAAAAAAAATGTATACACTAACTGTACGTCGCTCTGGATAAGAGCGTCTGCTAAATGACAAAAAAATAAAAATAAAAAATACACTAAAAAAAAGAGTGGTTTGCCTCTCTCCCAGCCAAATCACATTATGAGTACAATGGTGCAGCCTGAGGGCTTCCATCACACAGTATCAAATCACATTTTATTTGTCACATGTGCCGAAAACAACAGGTGTAGACCTTACAGTGAAATGCTTACTTACAAGCCCTTAACCAACAATGTAGTTCTAAGAAAAATAAATGTTAAGTAAAAAAGATAATTAACAAATAATTAAAGAGCAGCAGTAAAATAACAGTAGCGAGCCTATATACAGGGGGTACCGGTACAGAGTCAATGTGCGGGTGCACAGGTTAGTCGAGGTAATTGAGGTAATATGTACATGTAGGTAGAAGTAAAGTGACTAAGCATAGACAATAAACAGAGAGTAGCAGCAGCGTAAAAAGAGGGGGTGGGGGGGACAATGCAAATAGTCCGGGTAGTCATTTGATTAGCTGTTCAGGAGTCTTATGGCTTGGGGGTAGAAGCTTTTGAGAAGCCTTTTGTACCTAGACTTGGCGCTCCGGTACCGCTTGCCGTGCGGTAGCAGAGAGAACAGTCTATGACTAGGGTGGCTGGAGTCTGTGGCAATTTTTAGGGCCTTCCTCTGACACCGCCTGGTATAGAGGTCCTATCATGCTAACATTGTTAGGTTGCATAATGTATTCCCGGCATTAGTCACAGACAGGATGCATTTTTACTTTACTCTTATTCAGGACACCCTCCCTGTTTTATTCTGGTATGTCAATGCTGTATATGTGTCTTTTGAATTAGGTCTTTAATTGGTGTGTTTAAATTTGGTCGGATTTCTGTCAGTGTTTTGTCTCTGATTGGTGCAGTGTTTTGTATCTTGGGTATCTGATTGGTGCAGTGTTTTGTATCTTGGGTGTCTGATAGGTGTGCTTGTCTCTGTCCTGTCAGGTCATTACTGATGGCGGAGCTGGAGAAAGAGGAGAAGGAGAAAGACTGGTATTATGCACAGCTGCAGAACCTCACCAAGAGGATCGATAGCCTACCACTGACTGAGAATGTAAGTGTTTATTTGTCGTCCAGTGTTGTTAGTGTGTTGGGGTACTCTAGTCAAAAGCGATGCACAAATTGTATGTATAATCTGACGAAGATGAGGCGGTGGTCAATGGGTCTCCTCTCTGCATTAGATATTAGAATCGCCCCATTGCATCACGACTGATGGCTGTTTTGTTGTTCCTGTTTGCTGTTGCAGCAATTCTCCCTGCAGACGGATATGACCCGTAGGCAACTGGAGTATGAGGCGAGGCAAATCAGAGCCGCCATGGAGGAACAGCTGGGAACCTGCCAGGATATGGAGAAGAGGGCACAGGTGAGGAGAGAGGGATGAGATGAATGGATACAGTGAAAGAGAGAGCAGGTACAGAAAGGGCAGAATATGGGTTGAGTCATTGAGGATACACATACATACACACACACACACACACACACACACACACACACACACACACACACACACAGGAAAAACAGAATGGTCAGACAGGATACTGACTACTGTAAGTAGGATGAGATGATGTAGGCGGGTGGGGGGCTGGGCATTAGTAAGTTGACTTAATTCAACAACTTCTGTCTCTGCCTCTACGAATGCTTTTATTCAGTCAGTGTTACATCATTGAAATATTTCCTCCTCTCTGAGTGATCGCTTCCTGTAAATGTCCTGCTGTACTTCAGGTGAGGGTGGCTCGCATTCAGCAGATAGAGAAGGACATGCTGAAGGTCCGACAGTACTTACAGTCCCAGTCTGCAGAACCAGAGGTATGTCATACACCAGCCTCAGACATAATATACTAGAATGACAAGAACATGCATGGAGGGCATGTTCTAGAACCAGAGAAGGTGTCGCCAGAAACAAGAGGACAAAATATCTCGGTAATTACATTTAGGGCTGGTTTCCTGGACCCAGATTAGGCTTAGTCCTGGAGAAAAAAAATATTTGAAAGGATGTTTTAGTCAAGGACATGCATAATCTGGGTTTGGGAAATCAGCCCTAAATGTATTTACCGTGAGATATTCTGTCCCCTGTTGTTTCTGGCAGCACTTTCTCTGTATTCTGGCTACTGCCTGGCTTGTGTGGACATCTCCACATACATTCTGTGGTCACAGTTTTGTTGGCTTTTAGTCATGTAAATAACCTAAAGCTGCTTACATCTGAGTGTCATACCATATCGGAGTCAGCCATCCCATTTTCTGATATCTATTTAATCCTCCATGTTGTACTGGTGGTAGCTACCCGCTTCTCTATGCAGTGAGATGTGTAGCCTATGGCCTACATCACTGCATTACAGAGAAACAACTCATGGACATGGACTAGTGTACAATAATGCTTTGTTACTGATTCGATGTGTTGGTTATCTGAACTGAACACACTGTCCTTTCATCCAATCATTTTGCAGTGTTCTGCTCATCTCCTAAACAAGAGCAGCATTTATTTACTGTGGCTCCTAAGAACACTAGATTGCTGGAAGGTACTCTAGAATGCAGAGTTCCGTTCAGCATTCCACTTTATCTCACTTCTGACCCTGATTCTGGGGGGTGAAATCAACCATAGGCTTTCTCTTGTTCTCTCTCCCTGTGTTAAATATTAAAAAGAGAGCTGGGTCTATTTTCCATCCAATTTCAATGGAAGACTTCAGCACTGGACACATTAGCTGACCTATTGACTGAGCATGTGTGCAGTCAGTCAGTCAACCAGTGACCCACCTTCTGCTCCTGTTGGATGCAGGCAAGCCATAAGGTCTTGGTGTGCGTCAGTGTGCATGAATACCATATCCAAGCCAGTGCACTCATGCATGTGTGATTTTGTGTTTATTTGGTGGCCCATACAGTGTGTGTTTATGTCTGTTGGTAATTGTGCATGTTGTTGGTGTGTGTACACTACAGTCCCTCACCCTGCATGTGTGCTGGCTCTCATGTGATCCCCCGCTTCATGAGTGGATTAATCTCATTGGACACATTTAATTTCACTCCCCCCTTTGACTGTAATCCTGCAGACTGAGCGACAGTTGATGTAGGTCAGGAATGAGGAATCCTGATGCTCCTGCAGCTGCTCTAGCTAGCTTAGTGACTGAACACTCTATCCATCTCTCTCTCCATCGTTCTCTCTGAGTCTCACACCCACTCTCAATCTTTCTCACTCTGTCTTGCTCTCCCACTCTCAATCTCCTTCGGTCTTCCTCCTTCTCTCACTCCCCCTCCTACTGTCTTGCACGCTCTCTCACTCCCTTTCCTTCCTTTCCCTCTCTCTGCCTGGTGAATGATTTATCCCTCTCTCTGCCTTTTCTTCCCTCCTTCCAGGTGACTGGTTCTGTATCCTCGCTCTCTGTTGACTAGTTCCTCTCGTCCCTCATTTAGCCTGCTACATGAATGGTTTTCTCCTCTCCTCTGGAGGTCTGACCCTTCTATCCGTCTTTCTTTCCCACCCACAGAGCAAGCATGACCAGGCTGGCCAGAGTGAAGGACCCCAGGCTTCAGGGGACAGTGGTGGGCCAAGTGCTGGGTGTTCTCAGGTAAGACTGTCTTACCTTCCATTCATACCTGATCGAAAACAATCAGCATTTTTGAAGGGACCATTATCAGAACATAATGAGTAGTAATTTGGGATACAAGGAGATTTGTAGACTGATTCTGCACAGCCTGACTGCAATGTAGTCAATCTCAAACACACAGTGCTTGCAAGCCCAGAGATTTGTAGTTAACGTTTGATGGATTCATTTGATTCCTTTACTCCTATTATGCTCCTGAAAATCTCTTCCTCCATTGGACTGACTGGCAGTGTTGGTTAGGGGAGTTCAGCTGAGCAGTCGTGAGCTGCCTTTTTGGCTTTGCTTAGAGCCTAGACTTTCCTGTTAATGCTAATGATTTGTCTTACTTCAGAGTAGGTTTTATCCCTGAGGCTTGAGGTTAAAGCATTAATGCAGGGGTTACCAAACCCTTTTGACACGACCCCATTTTGAGATCTGAAAATTCTTGTGACCCCAACCATTTTTTAAATGTAATTAACAGCCAATGTTTACGTTTTTCAGTGGGGCTATGGCGGTCAATTGCAAAACATTCTAACACTATTTCTGATTCTATTCTCAACTAACTAGGGCTGACCCCAATTAGTCAACTGGTCGATTGTTTGGTCTATAGGCTGTTGGTCGACCGAGATTGTTTTCGTCGCGCAGTAGAAAAAATCTAATCCATTTCGGAGGCCTAGACTAAAAGGCAATTCATGCTTGATCTGAAAATGTAGTAGAGGCTCCATATGGAGGGTGTGACACAATTGCGGAGCCTCAGGAGGCATCCAGACGCCAACTCGAGCTCAAAACCGCATCACCATGCACCTCCCAAATGTTGTAACAATGCGAAGGGCTCTGTATAGCTCCGCGTTGACATGATTGGTTAACGGTAGGTGGGGGCGGTACATCCTGTATAAACAGAAACTCACTTCCTTGACAACTTCCTTCACAACAACTCTGCACTGCTTTGCGAAGCGCAATATGTATGAATGCCCTGACCTGCAGAGGCCTTATCACTGTAAATTCTGCATGGCCAATGCAGACGTCAGATTGACCATGCGGTGCACAGATGCACAATGTACTTCTCTCTCCAGGAATGCGCTCTCCCCGCCAATTTGTGCATTGTTTCATAACTTCATTGTGTGAATTGTTTGCGTTTGATTGTTAGTGTAGGATATATCACTTCTCCATTACATACAGTGGGGAGAACAAGTATTTGATACACTGCCGATTTTGCAGGTTTTCCTACTTACAAAGCATGTAGAGGTCTGTAATTTTTATCATAGGTACACTTCAACTGTGAGAGACGGAATCTAAAACAAAAATCCAGAAAATCACATTGTATGATTTTTAAGTAATTCATTTGCATTTTATTGCATGACATAAGTATTTGATACCTCAGAAAAGCAGAATTTAATATTTGGTACAGAAACCTTTGTTTGCAATTACAGAGATCATACGTTTCCTGTAGGTCTTGACCAGGTTTGCACACACTGCAGCAGGGATTTTGGCCCACTCCTCCATACAGACCTTCACCAGATCCTTCAGGTTTCGGGGCTGTCGCTGGGCAATACGGACTTTCAGCTCCCTCCAAAGATTTTCTATTGGGTTCAGGTCTGGAGACTGGCTAGGCCACTCCAGGACCTTGAGATGCTTCTTACGGAGCCACTCCTTAGTTGCCCTGGCTGTGTGTTTCGGGTCGTTGTCATGCTGGAAGATCCAGCCATGACCCATCTTCAATGCTCTTACTGAGGGAAGGAGGTTGTTGGCCAAGATCTCGCGATACATGGCCCCATCCATCCTCCCCTCAATACGGTGCAGTCGTCCTGTCCCCTTTGCAGAAAAGCATCCCCAAATAATGATGTTTCCACCTCCATGCTTCACGGTTGGGATGGTGTTCTTGGGGTTGTACTCATCCTTCTTCTTCCTCCAAACACGGCGAGTGGAGTTTAGACCAAAAAGCTCTACTTTTGTCTCATCAGACCACATGTGACCTTCTCCCATTTCTCCTCTGGATCATCCAGATGGTCATTGGCAAACTTCAGACGGGCCTGGACATGCGCTGGCTTGAGCAGGGGGACCTTGCGTGCGCTGCAGGATTTTAATCCATGACGGCGTAGTGTGTTACTAATGGTTTTCTTTGAGACTGTGGTCCCTGCTCTCTTCAGGTCATTGACCAGGTCCTGCCATGTAGTTCTGGGCTGATCCCTCATCTTCCTCATGATCATTGATGCCCCACGAGGTGAGATCTTGCATGGAGCCCCAGACCGAGGGTGATTGACCGTCATCTTGAACTTCTTCCATTTTCTAATAATTGCGCCAACAGTTGTTGCCTTCTCACCAAGCTGCTTGCCTATTGTCCTGTAGCCCTTCCAAGCCTTGTGCAGGTCTACAATTTTATCCATGATGTCCTTACACAGTTCTCTGGTCTTGGCCATTGTGGAGAGGTTGGAGTCTGTTTGATTGAGTGCATGGACAGGTGTCTTTTATACAGGTAACGAGTTCAAACAGGTGCAGTTAATACAGGTAATGAGTGGAGAGCAGGAGGGTTTCTTGAAGAAAAACTAACAGGTCTGTGAGAGCCGGAATTCTTACTGGTTGGTAGGTGATCAAATACTTATGTCATGCAATAAAATGCAAATTAATTACTTAAAAATCATACAATGTGATTTTCTGGATTTTTGTTTTAGATTCCGTCTCTCACAGTTGAAGTGTACCTATTATAAAAATTACAGACCTCTACATGCTTTGTAAGTAGGAAAACCTGCAAAATTGGCAGTGTATCAAATACTTGTTCTCCCCACTGTATATCACCAGTAGTACATTTACCGTTAATTTCTAATCTACAATGTTTGCTTGGTTATGGTAATTGCTGTTAATGCATTCAGTATATTAGTATTCAAGTCTTACTGTTCTCATTGTCGGAGTGGACACATTGTTTGCAGAGCGCACAACCTATGCTACACTTGTGAGAAACAAGTTTTGGTTTATTTCATTTCATTTAAGAGTTTTGTCAATTTAGTCATTGTCTTTTGTTTGAAGCGCTCCTGTCAATGTTGAGTAAGGACGCACACCTGATTATGCATATAAGTATATATGCCTATAAGCTACTAGGCCTGCGCGGAAATGTAGGCATATAAATGTGCCCATTTGGGGATCTGAAAGTATTTCTGATTGGCTTAACGCACCACCACTAATGAGCTGTGGAGCTTCTCAAAGTAATGCTTTCTTCACTTCAAACAGCAAGCAAACAGTCTGTTTTTACATCCATTGAGAATGACAATAGTTTCTCAATGTAGGCTATTTGAAAAATCTTTCCAGCTCTCTCCCTTTCGATAACCACTCAGCATGAAAGGGAAGAATGTCATGCTCTGATCCAGTGGAAACGTCATAAAATAGGCCTACCTGATTACTTCTTATCAGTGCTTGACTTGGACTGAAATAGGTTCTGGTACTCATTTTGGGTGATGCTACTGTTTTTATATTTAGGTGCAGGACCACCACAATACTTTTGAGCTAATATTCTATAAGAGGAATAGGAGCTCATGCAGTAGAAAGTGGCAGGTGCCGGTACTCAGCTCCAGTGAGCTCCTGCCCAAGTCAAGCACTGCTTCTTATCCCTTGCGCAAATAGCCTACATCTGTGTCTGTCCCGAGCTCACTGGCGAGGGAAACTATGAGGGCCCAGAATATTTTATATAATGTTGAAAGTTCGCTAGCGCAAGCTTCCAGCTGGACCCAAGTTAGGCTAATAGTTGGTACAATGTTTCAAGTTCATTGCAGACAGGCCATGCATAGCCAATGTGATTTTTAGATTTTTTTATCAGGATATTTTCTACCTGCAGGCTAAAATGTTTTTATTTGTTGGATTTATGTAGGCTATTTTTACATAGTTGGCAATGGCAGTATACGTTTATTTTTAGGTTTATCATTTTCATTTAGATTTGGATAGAATTTTGATTAACCACATGACAATGATTTTGAGATATGAAGACGTTATTATAAATTAAATGAAACTGTTCCACGAAAATGTGCATATGAAAACCATAACTGGCACGCAGATCGGTATAAATGGTAAGATAAATTGGCATTCCACATTAAGGTTGCCGACTCCTCGTGTAGCCTATTACCGGCAACTTCAGGAGAGTAACGACAGAATCTGCGAAATCCAGCAGGAGGGGGAGGAGAATGGTTAGGTCAGGTTAAGGTTTTTTTCTTCCTCTAGATCTCTGGCTCCCTCTTGAGTCATTTGTCTTATTTCATCAAACAGTAAGCTTAAAGCATCAGACAAGCTCAATGCATATAGTTGATTTTATTAAAACACATAGGGTGTGTCTATATATGGAAAAATACACGTTTAATAATGTCGACCAATCGATTGATCGACATAAGACGACTATCGGTCAACCAATATTTTTTTTTGTCGGGGACAGCCCTACAACTCACCATCATACTTTTAATATGGGGCTATGAGAGTCAATTGCAAATTAGTCTGACATAATTTATCTTATCTCACCACCACTAACGAGATGGGTGTGCTTGATGCATGTTGTGTCGGAGCTTACAAAAAGTCGGGGCGTGGTCGACAGTGTGCACCTCATCTCTCCTATCACATCCAACCTGGATCGATATATATATTTTTTTATGCAGACGAGAGCACTGAATCAGTTTACAGTGAGTTTTAATGCTCGGAGGGAGACGTCACAGTATTTTGTTTAAGTCAGGAACCAAAACTCCTCCATAGTGACTAAGGTTGAATATTTTCCCGGTATTTTACAAATGTTCAATTTTGAGAATAAATCACTTTTCTCCCGGGTAACCCGGTATTTCCCGCCAAAACCGGAAGTGTCATTCAAAAGCATTATAAAGCATATAAATAAGCCAATGTCTGGATTTGATTAGAGCTTTGGTTGAAAATTCAAGCCTGATGCAACCTGAGCCTGATTTAAATACATTTTATGCTCTGGATAAGAGCGTCTGCTAAATGATGTAAATGTAAATGAGCCCAAGCCCAAATGATTGTGCCGTTATCCAATACAAAGGCTATATGATATATAGGCTACTGCACATTATGCACAACAGAAAAACATAAAAGCACATGGATGTAGCTATGCACTCTTGGGTAAATAAATTAAACAAGCTCCAGTAGGCTAATCTTTTTGAGTTTGAACTGTGTTACTGTATTGTTATGCTGTTATATACGGACTGGAATTACACATCTTGTTCAAACCATGATAATGCAGCACAGGCGGCCTACAAAATTACTAGTATAGGCTAGCGAATTTGATTAAAAATTTTCATAATTTTCACCCTAATGTTATTCGTTTACCACCTCTTTCTCTCTCTATTGTTGCTTCAGTCCTTGCTTTCAATGGTTATAATTAATATGTTTAGATGTCCTTATCTATCTGCAGGTTAGCTAGATTTCTAGAAAGTAAAAACGATATACACTACCGGTCAAAGGTTTTAGAACATCTACTCATTCAAGGGTTTTAATTTATTTGTACTATTTTCTACATTGTAGAATAATACTGAAGACATCAAACTATGAAATAACACATATGGAATCATGTAGTAACCAAAAAAGTGTTAAACAAATCAAAATATATTTTTTATTTGAGTTTCTTCAAATAGCCACGATGACAGCTTTGCACACTCTTGGCATTCTCTCAACCAGAGTAGGTGAACGGATGATCTCCATATGTGTGGTTCCCACCGTGAAGCATGGAGGAGGTGGTGTGATGGTGTGGGGGTGCTTTGCTGGTGACACTGTCAGTGATTTTATTTAGAATTCAAGGCACACTTAACCAGCATGGCTAATTGATCATTAGAAAACTATTTTGCAAAATTGTTGTGCTGATTAAAGAAGCAATAAAACTGGCCTTCTTGAGACTAGTTGAGTATCTGGAGCATCAGCAATTGTGGGTTCAATTACAGGCTCAAAATGGCCAGAAACAAATAACTTTCTTCTGAAACTCGTCAGTCTATTCTTGTTCTGAGAAATGAAGGCTATTCCATGCGAGAAATTGCCAAGAAACTGAAGATCTCGTACAACGCTGTGTACTACTCCCTTCACAGAACAGCGCAAACTGGCTCTAATCAGAATAGAAAGAGGAGTGGGAGGCCCCGGTGCACAACTGAGCAAGAGGACAAATACATTAGTGTCTAGTTTGAGAAACAGGAGCCTCAACTGGCAGCTTAATTAAATAGTACCTGCAAAACACCAGTCTCAACGTCAACAGTGAAGAGGCGACTCCAGGATGCTGACCTTCTAGGCAGAGTCGCAAAGAAAAAGCCATATCTCAGACTGCCCATCTTAATCTTTTATTTTTATTGGCCAGTCTGAGATATGGCTTTTTCTTTGCAACTCTGCCTAGAAGGTCAGCATCCCGGAGTCGCCTCTTCATGAGCATAAGGAGGGGAGTTTTTGAGTCTTTCAGTCAGTTTACTCTTGATTGCTAGCTATAGCATCAATTCTTAGTTTTGCAGTGTTATCTGACAAAGGTATTGATGTGAGTTTCTGTGCCTCTGCCTCCCCACACATTGTTTTTCACCATATCAATTGCGGCCGGTAATATCAAAGTCTCTGCAGTAGTGTGTGGTTTCATAGTGTAGCGGGCTTAGCCATTCACTGTGGGAATGATTCAAGTGTAATGGTCAAGTGCGGCCTTTTCCCAAGATCTAAGGGTGCTCTCTGGTTTAATTTGAACTTTTAGATTAGAAGAATTTTCATTAGTTTTTTTTTCTTCCATGATTTGGGATATTCTCCCACGACCCCATTTTTATATCAGGGGTCGCGATCCTTAGTTTGGGAACCACTGTGTTAATGGTTAATTTTACCATTTAAAAAATTTAATGTAGTCTGACTTCACTCGATTCTTAGCAGATTAAGTGAGGTTGCTGGGAATGTTCTATGGAACGAAACTGGCACACACTGTGACACACTAATGGCTTTGATGAGAAAGGCAAAGATGTTCTAGGAAATTGCTAGCAAGCGACACTAATATGAATCAATAAATTATTGAAAAATGTGTTTAAAATGTTTTTTTGTTTGTTTGTTTTTTAGGGTTCAAGCAGTCGCCTGGATCACGACTCTGCCAGTGAAATAAGTTTGGGTGTGGGTAGTTACTCTGTGCCCCGCCGACTGACCAGTCACCTGGGCACCAAGGTAACCAGAGATTCGAATACACCTCAGGTTGATATAAACTCAGCAAAAAAAGAAACATCCCTTTTTCAGGACCCTGTCTTTCAACGATAATTCGTAAAAATCCACAGATCTTCATTGTAAAGGGTTTAAACACTGTTTCCCATGCTTGTTCAATGAACCATAAACAATTAATGAACATGCACCTGTGGAATGGTCGTTAAGACACTAACAGCTTACAGACAGTAGGCAATTAAGGTCACAGTTATGAAAACTTAGGACACTAAAGAGGCCTTTCTACTGACTCTGAAAAACACCAAAAGAAAGATGCCCAGGGTCCCTGCTCATCTGCGTGAACGTGCCTTAGGCATGCTGCAAGGAGGCATGAGGACTGCAGATGTGGCCAGGTACAATAAATTGCAATGTCCGTACTGTGAGACGCCTAAGACAGCGCTACAGGGAGACAGGACGGACAGTTGATCGTCCTTGCAGTGACAGACCATGTGTAACAACACCTGCACAGGATCAGTACATCCAAACGTCACACCTGCGGGACAGGTACAGGATGGCAACAACAACTGCCCGAGTTACACCAGAAATGCACAATCCCTCCATCAGTGCTCAGACTGTCCGCAATAGGCTGAGAGAGGCTGGACTGAGGGCTTGTAGGCCTGTTTTAAGGCAGGTCCTCACCAGACATTACCAGCAACAACGTCGCCTATGGGCACAAACCCACCATTGCGGGACCAGACAGGACTGGCAAAAAGTGCTCTTCACTGACGAGTCGCGGTTTTGTCTCACCAGGGGTGATGGTCGGATTTGCGTTTTATCTCAATCCCATTGAGCATGTCTGGGACCTGTTGGATCGGAGGGTGAGGGCTAGGGCCATTCCCCCCAGAAATGTCCGGGAACTTGCAGGTGCCTTGGTGGAAGAGTGGGGTAACATCTCACAGCAAGAACTGGCAAATCTGATGCAGTCCATGAGGAGGAGATGCACTGCAGTACTTAATGCAGCTGGTGGCCACAACAGATACTGACTGTTACTTTTGATTTTGACGCCCCTTTGTTGAGGGACACATTATTCAATTTCTGTTAGTCACATATCTGTGGAACTTGTTCAGTTTATGTCTCAGTTGTTGAATCTTTCTATGTTCAAACAAATATTTATACATGTTAAGTTTGCTGAAAATAAACACAGTTGACAGTGAGGACGTTTCTTTTTTTGCTGAGTTTAGTTCTACTGTTATGAAACAGCCCCCGTTAAAAACAAACCACATGATCTGCCTGCATGTCCAAACCGGAAATGTTATCTATACTGAACAAAAATATAAACGCAATATATAACAATTTCAACAATTACAGTTCATATGAGGAAATTGGTCAGTTGAAATACATTCATTTGGCCCTAATCTATGGATATCACATGACTGGGCCTTGCAATGTGCCTCAAGATCTTGTCACAGTATTTTTGTGCGTTCAATTTGCTATTGATAAATTGCAATTGTGTTCGTTGTCCGTAGCTTATGCCTGCCCATACCATAACCCTACTGCCACCATGGGGTACGCTGTTCACAACGTTCACAATCCGCAAATTGCTCACCCACACGACCCCATACGTGTGGTCTGCGGTTGTGAGGCTGGTTGGATGTACTCCCAAATTCTCTAAAACGATGTTGGAGATGGATTATGGTAGAGAAATGAACATTCAATTATTTGGCAACAGCTCTTTTGGACATTCCTATAGGCAGCATGCCAATTGTACGCTCCCTCAAAACTTGAGACATCTGTGGCATTGTGTTGTGTGACAACTGTACATTTTAGAGTGGCCTTTTATTGTCCCCAGCACAAGGTGCATCTGTGTAATAATCATGCTATTTAATCATCTTCTTTATATTTCACACCTGTCAGATGGATGGATTATCTTGGCAAAGAGAAATGCTCACTAACAGGGATGTAAACACATTTTTGCACAGAATTAGAGAGAAATAAGCTTTTTGTGCGTATGGAATATTTCTGGGATCTTTTATTTCAGCTCATAAAACATGGGACCAACACTTTACATGTTGTGTTTTATATTTTTGTTCAGTGTAGTTGAGCAATTTCATTAAAATTATACTTTTTTTTAACAGAAGTAGCTCACATAAATGAGATTGCATCCCAAGTGGGTACAATGTAATCAATTTCGATATGAATAACTTGTTTCGACCTATAAATCATCAGTGTGTCTTCTACAATATAGTTGTTCTCACAGTCGACCTTCTTACCCTACAGGTGGAGATGGTATATTCCCTTCTCTCTATGCTGGGGACCCACGATAAAGATGACATGTCTCGCACTCTGCTGGCCATGTCCAGCTCCCAGGACAGCTGCATTGCCATGCGTCAGTCTGGCTGCCTTCCCTTACTCATCCAGCTCCTCCATGGCAACGACAAGGTTTGAAATGTTTTGATTTTTGGGGGTAACTTTGTCTTTTATCATTAGTTATTTGTTTTACCATCAAGGATCACTTTGGAAATAAGTGTTTTAATTAATACTTTCAAGTGAGATCCTCTGGGATCAAATTGTTGTATGTATGTATTATAATTCTTTACCCCAAATAAAAGTATATTCTATACAATTCAATTCAAGGACTCTGTGCTGCTGGGGAACTCGCGGGGAAGCAAGGAGGCCCGGGCGAGAGCCAGCGCCGCCCTCCATAACATTATCCACTCCCAGCCTGATGATAAGAGGGGTCGCAGGGAGATCAGAGTGCTGCACCTCCTGGAGCAGATCAGGGTCTACTGTGAGACCTGCTGGGAGTGGCAGGAGAGCCATGAGCGAGGAGTGGACCAGGACAAAAACCCCAGTGAGGCTGGCTCTGTGTTTACTGTATTGTGTTGTATTGATTTTGTGTATCTAGTCTTGATGTGTTGATGTATGTATTGCTGACCTCGCAAAAATAATTTATATTAAATATTATATTAAATAAAATATTGTGTTGTGTAGATGAACTGTGTTGATTTGGTTAGTGTATGGACATTTGGATGGGTAATGGATTTTTTACCTAATGGTGTGTATGTGAACCCCAGTGCCCTCTCCCGTGGAGCATCAGATCTGCCCAGCGGTGTGTGTTCTTATGAAGCTGTCCTTTGACGAAGAGCACAGGCACGCAATGAATGAGCTCGGTAAGCATTCACCAAATGCACTTTATTTTTACTTTGACTAATTAACCAGGATAATCATTTCCACTCAGTTACAATTGCCACTGCTTTCCAGGCAGTTATCTTTAAAGATAACACATAAATCCTTATTTGATAGATTTAATATTTCATAACATTCTCATCGCCAAGCAACCATGACAGAACGGCGCTACTTAAAGGCATCATGTTAGATAAATAATTGATGTATTCATCACTGTAAAGATGTAGGCACTTATGCAATGTCCTCAATTATGTGCGTTGCATAGGACGACATATAGTAGAACATTCATGGGGCAGACTCATGAAATGATTGATTGCCATTTCTCCTGCTGTTTTGTGTGTTCCCAGGGGGCCTGCAGGCTATAGGGGAGCTGCTCCAAGTGGACTGTGAAATCTATGGCCTCACTAGCGATCACTACAGCGTCACTCTGAGGAGATATGCTGGCATGGCCCTCACCAACCTCACCTTTGGGGATGTTGCCAATAAGGTGCGCTTCTTCAGACTATGTAGCCTAACCTCAGATATAGATTGATTGTGTGTGGAATTGTGACAGAACGTTTTGGGATATCTACCTTATGGCTGGTTCCCCATGTCCAGATTAAGCCTATTTCTAGAGTAAAAACAACTTTGAATCTCCATTGAGCATGTTTATTAGTCTAGGAGTAGGCTCAATCTGAGTCCGGTAACCCTTCCCATATTTGTGCTTACACCTGAGAGTAAGAGTGTCTTAAAGGATAATCTTGTTGAAAAAGTATGGCTTCAACTTAATAATAAGAATCTTTCTGTGTCTTCAATCCTCAGGCCACACTGTGTTCCATGAAGGGATGCATGAGGGCCATGGTGGCTCAGCTGAAGTCTGAGAGTGAGGATCTACAGCAGGTGATTGCCAGTGTGTTGAGGAACTTGTCCTGGCGTGCGGATGTGAACAGTAAGAAGACCCTCCGCGAGGTGGGCAGCGTCAGGGCTCTGATGGAGTGTGCATTGGAGGTACAGAAGGTGAGACACGTCATGAATACACTTTCAATTAAAGGTCACCTTATAAGCATCCACAATGGTTACTTTGATACAAATACATAATTAGGAGCACATCATGTAGAAATATTTGAATGAAATGTCCAATAGGAATTTTATCAAGATATTTGCCTAAAGATGTATTCAATGGCTAACAAAGTTTGTCCTCTTTCCCTTTTATAGGAGTCTACTCTGAAGAGTGTCCTCAGTGCCCTGTGGAACCTGTCAGCTCACTGCACTGAAAACAAAGCTGATATCTGTGCTGTTGAGGGGGCTTTGGCCTTCCTGGTTAGCACTCTGACGTACCGAAGCCAAACCAATACCCTCGCCATCATCGAAAGTGGAGGAGGCATCTTGCGCAACGTGTCTAGTCTCATTGCTACAAATGAAGATCACAGGTATGTTATCTAAAATCAAAAGTGATTAACTATAGTATTATGCTGTTAAATATTATAATTGTTTTATATTGTACTGTATCCCCAGTAGTAATTCTTACACTTGAAAGCTGACAAGACCATATGTTTCCTTCTCTGTCTGTAGGCAAATCCTGAGAGAGAACAGCTGTCTTCAGACACTTCTGCAGCACCTGAAGTCTCACAGCCTGACTATCGTGAGCAACGCGTGCGGCACTCTGTGGAACCTCTCTGCCCGCAACGCAAAGGACCAGGAGGCCTTGTGGGACATGGGTGCTGTGAGCATGCTGAAGAACCTAATCCACTCCAAACACAAGATGATCGCCATGGGCAGCGCTGCAGCACTGAGGAACCTCATGGCCAACAGGCCAGCCAAATATAAGGACGCCAACATCATGTCGCCTGGATCCAGCCTGCCCTCTCTTCACGTCAGGAAACAGAAAGCCTTGATCGAGGAACTGGACTCTCAGCAACTCTCTGAGACATTTGACAACATTGACAATTTAAGCCCCAAGGCGTCCCACAGGGGTAAACCAAGCAGGCACAAGCAGAATGTCTACAGTGATTACGATGGTGTCTCTAGATCGGATGGGTTTAGCCCCAACAGTGTGCCTGTGCGCTCCCCTTACGTGAACACACCAGTTCTGTCAAGCCCGTCACCCAGAGAGAACCCAAGGGGGAACATAGATAGTGTTAGGGCTGAGAGGGATCGAAGCCAGGACAGAGACAGACTGAGGGGTGCACCCGGGGGTTTCCACCCAGATCATGACTCTAAGAGAATGCAGATGCCTGCCACAACAGCAGCTCAGATCGCCATGGTGATGGAGGAGGTGAAAAGCATTCACTTACTGACTGGTCTGGATGACCGGTCACCAGAGAGCCCTAATCAAGACCCTCACCGTACCACTGCAGCACATGGTCATTCAAATATACACCCCTCCACTAAGCCCGATCACTCGGGCAGAACTTGTCCAATGCCCAAGTTAGAATACAGGGCGTCCAACGACAGTCTCAACAGTGTCAACAGCACTGACGGTTATGGCAAAAGAGGCCAGATGAAGCCATCTGTGGACTCGTACTCTGAGGATGATGAGGGGAAGTGTTGCGTCTATAGAAAATATCCTGCAGACCTCGCTCATAAAATCCACAATGCAAACCACATGGAAGATGATGATGGAGAAGTTGACACACCCATCAATTACAGCCTAAAGTATTCTGACGAGCAGCTGAACTCTGGTCGGCAAAGTCCAAGCCAAAATGAAAGGTGGGCAAGGCCTAAGCACATGGAGGAGGAGATGAAACGGACAGATCAGAGGTCTGTGCGATCTCAAAGCCCAGGCTACCCCATGTACACGGAGGGCAACTGTGAGGGCAAGGAAAAACTGAAGTACAAACCCAGGTTTGTGCAAACTGAAATGCCACAGGGATTCAGATCAAGGAACACCAACCAACATCAACAAGATCAAAGCAATGCTGGCCCCACTCAAGGAATTAACAAAAAGATGAACAACCAGACTATGTGCCAGTCTGTGGATGATTACGGTGATGACAAACCAACCAATTATAATGAGCGATACTCAGAGGAAGAACAACAAGATGAGCAGCCGACCAATTACAGCATGAAGTACAACGAGGAACATCATGCAGAACAACCCATTGATTACAGTCTGAAATACTCAGACTCCTCCTCCCAAAAATCCATGTTTAGTCATTCAAAGTCATCCTCCACTCAAAGCTCAGTGAAAGAGCATCTGAGCCAAGATGGTTCCACATCATCCGTGACATCCATAAAGAATGCAGGAAGACAAATGCAGCTACATCCCTCCTCAGCTCAAACGAGATCAGGGCCAACTCGGCCAGGCCAGAAGAACACAATATGCAAACCCCCTACCGTCAATCAAGAGACACTACAAACGTACTGCGTTGAGGACACACCCATCTGTTTCTCAAGAGGTAGCTCTCTGTCATCCTTGTCCTCAGAGGAGGACGAAATGGAGGGCTGCAAGAGGAATGTAAATGCTGCTAGTAACTACCCAACTCTTCCCATCTCTGAGAAAGATTCCACTGGCGGTCAAACACAAGAACAACGCACGACCGAGAGCCAGTCATCTGTGCAGTATGTCCGAATGAAGCCTCCAAGGAATAGTCAAGTTCATGGAGATGGATCCAGACATCACAAAGCTGAGTTTTCATCTGGAGCCAAATCACCATCCAAAAGTGGCGCCCAGACCCCCAAAAGCCCCCCAGAACACTATGCGCAGGAGACACCCCTCATGTTCAGCAGATGCACATCTGTAAGCTCTCTCGACAGCTTTGAGAGCCATTCCATCGCTAGCTCTATACAGAGTGAATTGTGTAGCGGGATGCCCAGTGGAATAATCAGCCCAAGCGATCTGCCCGACAGCCCTGGTCAGACCATGCCTCCGAGCCGAAGCAAAACACCACCACCCCCACAACATCAACATCCACCCCCAATGAAACACAAAAAGGTGCCTCCTCCGCCTCCTCCTAGGGCAGATATGGCTCCAAGGCATGCTGCCGTACACGCTGCTGTCCAGAAAGTCCAGGTGCTTCCGGATAATGATGCCCTCCTACACTTTGCGACAGAGAGTACCCCAGAAGGATTCTCTTGCGCATCCAGCCTCAGTGCTTTAAGCTTAGATGAACCTTACATTCAGAAAGATAATGAGCTCAAGATCATGCCTCCTGTTCACGAAGACGACCAGGGAAATGAGGCTGAACATGAGAATGATGACACTACAGAACCCCCAAGCCAAGAGAAGCGTTCACCTGGAGAGACGGAAAAAGACATTTTGGATGATTCAGATGATGACGATATAGAAATACTGGAGGCTTGCATAAACTCAGCCATGCCAACAAAGTCATCAAGAAAACCCAAAAAGCAATCACCTTCCAACACTACTTCTAGAATACCACCACCTACTGCCCGTAAACCAAGCCAACTTCCTGTGTACAAATTACTCCCTTCACAAACCCGAGGACAACAGAAGACTGTGAACTTTGCCCATGGAGAGGACATGCCTAGGGTTTACTGTGTAGAGGGAACACCTATCAATTTCTCAACGGCCACATCTCTCAGCGACCTAACCATTGATTCACCCCCTAATGAGCTGGCCAATGCTGAAAGCTGTGCTCCTCCTCGTGCAGAAGTATCATCCAGTCAAAGAAGGGACACTATTCCAGAAGGTAAAAGTACAGAGGAAAAAGATGCAGGTGTTACTTCCTCCTCCACACAAGCTGCCGCAACAGAAAATGAAGGGGATGATATTTTAGCAGAGTGTATCAGTTCAGCCATGCCAAAAGGTAAAATCCACAAGCCCTTTAGAATACAGAAAATGTACGATCAACCACCGCATCCGTCAGCTTCTCCTGTTAGCCTAGTCCAGCAGGAGGTTGAAAAGAAGCCCACTTCCCCTGTTAAACCAATGCCACAGAGTAGTGAGTACAGAGCTAGGATGATTAAGAAACCCCAGCCTCCATTCAACTTTTCTTCATACTCTGATAAAAACAAAGAAACCAAAATGCAAGAGCCAAAAATGGCATCCAGAGATTTCACAGATAAGCCACCAAATGCAGAGGAGGGGCCACGGCCAGGGTTTGCTTTTGACTCACCACAGCATTACACACCAATAGAGGGTACACCCTATTGCTTCTCACGCAATGATTCACTGAGTTCATTGGACTTTGAGGATGATGAACCTGACCTCGCCAAGGAAAAGGCAGAACTCAGAAAAGACAAAGACCAGAGAAAAGCTTCAACAAAAAACAGTGGAAAGCCATCCTTAAGGGCAAACAGGTCGAATTTACCACAGACTGCTCCAACAAAACCTCTGCAACAGAAGCAGGCAGTATTTCCACAAGCATCCAAAGAAAACATGGGGCCAGTGCCAGATGAGAAGCAGAAGTTTTCCATTGAAGACACACCAATGTGTTTCTCTAGAAACTCATCTCTCAGCTCGTTAAGTGACATTGACCAAGAGAACAACAACAAAGACCTCCAGCCAAAAGAAGAGGAGGATGTAACTCAGGTGGAAGCTCCTGTAAGACCACAAGTCTCTGGTTACACACCAAAAGCCTTTCATGTTGAAGATACCCCTGTGTGTTTTTCAAGAAACAGTTCACTCAGCTCACTAAGCATTGATTCAGAAGATGACCTTCTACAAGAGTGCATCAGTTCAGCCATGCCAAAAAAGAAAAAACAGACAGCGAGAAATAAAGGGGGGAATGACCAAGGAGATGCCACTGAGGAGAAAAGTATGGATGGCATTTTAGCCGAGGAGCCAGATCTCATATTAGATCTCACTGATACACATAGTCCAGTTTCTGAACAAGCCTTATCGCCAGACTCTGAGTCATTTGATTGGAAGGCCATCCAAGAGGGTGCCAATTCCATCGTCAGCAGTTTGCACCAGGCAGCTGCTAGCCTCTCTAGACAAGGCTCATCTGACTCTGACTCAATCCTCTCCCTCAAATCTGGAATATCCCTTGGGTCTCCCTTTCACTTACCCTTAAATTCAGAGGATAATAAATCTGCATCCGACAAAGCAGGACGCCCACGGATATTAAAACCTGGTGAAAAGAGCACTTTAGAAGCCAAAAAGAAAGAAAAGGAAGAGGAAGCAGCAAAAGCTCTTAAAGGGGGCAAGAAAGTCTACAAAAGTCTCATAACAGGAAAACCACGCGCTATCACTGAGACCCCAGCCTCGTTACAGCAGAGGCAGACGGCCCCTACTGTTCCGATCTCTCGTGGGAGGACAATGATCCATGTCCCTGGTGTTAGAAGCAGTTCTCCAAGCACTAGCCCAGTCCAAAAGAAGCCTCCAGCCCGCGGTCCAGCCTCAGTCTCAAAAATTCCCCCCACCCAAGGGCAGTGTTCCAGTAATTCACACAGAAGCATCAAACCACCTGCTAAATCTGACCCTAGTCCTGCCAGGGATCAGCCTGGATCTCAATCGGGATCAAGTAAAGCTTCATCACGATCTGGATCCAGAGACTCCACACCATCCAGGCCAGCTCAGCAGTCCTTGACCACCAGACCCATGCAGTCACCTGGTCGCACCTCTGTGTCACCTGGAAGAAATGGTCTGGGCTCCTCTAACAAATTATCCCAAATACCTCGCACTGCTTCTCCAAGCACATCGTCAACCAAGTCTTCTTGTTCTGGCAGGATGTCCTACACCTCCCCTGGAAGACAGATGGGTCAGCAAACGCCACCCAAGCAGACTGGCTTAACTAGAAGCACTAGCGGAATCCCTAGGAGTGAATCTGCCTCAAAGAGTCTGAATCAGTGTGGAGTTGCTGGCACTTCTAAGAAGCAAGATTTGTCCAGGATGTCATCCACAAAGTCAAGTGGAAGTGAGTCAGACCGGTCGGAGAAACCTGCCCTAGTTCGCCAGTCTACGTTCATCAAAGAGGCCCCTAGTCCAACACTGAAGAGGAAATTGGAAGAGTCTGCCTCGTTCGAGTCTCTGTCCCCCTCTTCTACCAGCCAGTCTCAAACGCCTGTATCAAGCCCGTCTTTGCCAGATATGTCGTTGACTCTGCCCTATCAAGGAAGTCAGGGAAGCAACTGGAAAAAGTCCCCTCAGAGTCAAAATTCCTCCGAAAATGAGGATGGGAAACCTCAAAGGGGAGTGAAACACGACATCTCCAGATCCCATTCAGAAAGCCCCTCCAGGCTCCCTAATCTTAACAGGACAGGGACATGGAAGAGGGAGAACAGCAAACACTCCTCCTCTCTCCCAAGGGTTGGCACCTGGAAGAGAACTGGCAGCTCCTCTTCCATCCTCTCTGCCTCCTCTGAGTCAAGTGAAAAGGGCAAAAGTGAGGATGAACGACAGCCACTAAGGTCCCCACACGGCAAAGATGGAAACCCTTTAAAAGGAACATGGAGGAAGATGAAGGACAGTGAAATCTCGCAGTCAGAAGGCCACGATTCTTCCTCCATGGACTCTAACACCATGGCCATGGGGCACCAAATGAGCCCTGCAGTGTCCAAGACTGAAGATGTATGGGTGAGGATTGAGGACTGTCCCATTAACAGCCCGAGGTCTGTAAAATCTCCAACAGCAAACACACCTCCAGTAATCGACAGTGTACTAGTCAAAATGCCCTCTGTTGATCTCTTGACAAGTGAAACCCATCCCAAACAGTGCAAAACTGAAAGTGTAAATGCTCGTAGGCTAGGTTCAGAGACTAATTTAAACTTGTTTAGGAGCAGTGAGAGTCTTGATAAGAAAGGGCCAGACCTCAAGCCTGCTCAGAGCATCATCCCAGAGGCCCATGAACTGCCTGTTGCTGAACGCACCCCTTTTAGCTCCTCCAACTCTAGCAAACATAGCTCACCTAGTGGTGCTGTGGCTGCCAGAGTTAGCCCTTTCAATTACACTCCTAGCCCCAGGAAGAGCAGTGCTGACAGTGCCACACCACCACGACCCTCACAGATACCAACACCTGTCAGTGTCACCAACAGTGCAAAAAAGAGAGAATCTAAAGGAGAAAGTGCTGGAGAAAGTGGGTCCTATATTGTAACCTCAGTTTAAGTCCCTTGAGGCTAGATTACACAGACACACACCCATGACCTATGGGAAATGCTTTGACCATACCTAGTGACCTCTGTTGTAAAGAATTATTAAAACAAACACAAAGCAAAGATCATGGATTCGTCACAACTTTTGGTGTAAAAAACAAACATGTAAATAGTAGTGAGTTACTAGAGGGTTATTGTAGTTGATGCCTAGCCTAATTGCTGGGCTCTGTTTCTTTGCTGGTAGGAATGTGGCTGGGACACTTGGTTATCAGAGAGAGAGAGGGAGACCTCTGAAGGATAATGTATGTGAATTTGTACTGTACAGATTTTAATTATGTATTTAATTTAAACCCCTGTAAAGATCCTGAATCTTGTCCGACTTGACCAAGATAATCACTTAAAGTTGCATATTTGGGTTGTTAAAACGATTAAAGATGGACTTTAATGCTACTCCATTATTTTATTTTTTATGAAGCCTAAATTTCAGTCAGAAAGAAAATGAATTCTCATTTTTACTACTGCAAATGTATTATAAACTTACCCTTCCTTGCATGACCTGATGGTTTGTTTCCTGAAGTAAAGATGAACATTTGTGGTCACGTGTTGGTAGCTGTAGTGTAACATTTTACACTATTTTATGTGTGCTCTGAAAGTAAAGGAATTAACCGCAAGTTAACCTTAACAAAACTTTTCGAATTAGAAATATTTACATTGGATAATAGATTATATAAGAGAGTAGATAGATACATTGCTCTGCTGTTTGTTGTTTAATTGTTATCAGGTGAGTTGGATGCTTTTTAACTAAGAGACTATCTCAGAAGGACTGATTGAACACTTTGAACAAAATAAATTATTACTGTAGGTTTTTGGTGTTGGTATATAATTTTTTTTTAAAGCTCATTTTACTTTCCCCTGTAATCACTGTAATGCTAAAGCACATAATCAGAGGAGATGTACTATTTTGTTTAGCCAAAAAATTACACTGTGTGAATGACTGTTCATGTTTTTTATTTCTCATGCAATAAAGTAGTGGTTGGATATTCAAAGGAAAAAAGTCAATTTACAAATTGTAAATCAAAATAATAAACGTTAACATTTTTGGTGCAAAAATAGTGTCCAGTGTTACTGAACAGTGGAATGGTTGTGTTTATCAAGCTCTGATAATTTAGTATCCATCTTGAAGATATTTTGGTATTGAATGGAATTTAAGATTTGCTTGCAGTGAATGATTATGAACACAAGTGTCCTTATTGCAGCTATGGTTTGATATACAGTGCATTCGGAAAGTATTCAGACCCCTTGACTTTTTACACATTTGGTTATGTTACAGCCTTATTCTAAAAAAGTTTAATTTTTTTATCCCTCAATCTGCACACAATAACCCATAATGACAAACCAAAAACAGGTTTTTAGAAATGTTTGCTAATTTATTAAAAATAAAAAACTATCACATTTACGTAAGTATTCAGATCCTTTACTGAGTACTTTGTTGAAGCACCTTTGGCAGCGATTACAGCCTCAAGTCTTCTTTGGTATGACGCTACAAGTTTGGCACACCTGTATTTAGGGAGTTTCTCCTATTCTTTGCAGAGCCTTTCAAGCTCTGTCAGGTTGGATGGGAGCGTTGCTCCACAGCTATTGTCAGGTCCAGGCTCTGGCTGGGCCACTCAAGGACATTCAGAGACTTGTCCCGAAGCCACTCCTGCATTGTCTTGGCTGTGTGCTTAGGGTCATTGTCCTGTTGGAAGGAGAACCTTCGCCCCAGTCTGAGGTCCTGAGCGCTCTGGAGTAGGTTTTCATCAAGGAACTCTGTACTTTGCTCCGTTCATCTTTGCCTCGATCCTGACTAGTCTCCCAGTCCCTGCCGCTGAAAAACATCCCCACAGCATGATGCTGCCACCACCATGCTTCACCGTAGGGATGGTGCCAGGTTTCCTCCAGACTTGACGCTTGGCATTGTCCAAATAGTTCAATCTTGGTTTCATCAGACCAGAGAATCTTGTTTCTCATGGTCTGAGAGTCCTTTAGGTGCCTTTTGGCAAACTCCAAGCGGGCTGTCATGTGCCTTTTACTGAGGAGTGGCTTCCGTCTGGCAACTCCACCATAAAGGCCTGATTGGTGGAGTGCTGCAGAGATGGTTGTCCTTCTGGAAGGTTCTCCCATCTCCACAGAGGAACTCTGGAGCTCTGTCAGAGTGACCATTGGGTTCTTGGCCACCTCCCTGACCAAGACCCTTCTCCACCGATTGCTCAGTTTGGCTGGGCGGCCAGCTCTAGGAAGAGTCTTGGTGGTTCCAGACTTCTTCCATTTAAGAATGATGGAGGCCACTGTGTTCTTGGGGACCTTAAATGCTGCAGACATTTTTTGGTACCCTTCCCCAGATCTGTGCCTCGACACAATCCTGTCTCAGAGCTCTATGGACAATTCCTTCAACCTCATGGCTTGGTTTTTGCTCTGACATGCACTGTCAACCATGGGACCTTATATAGACAGGTGTGTGCCTTTCCAAATCATGCCCAATCAAATGAATTTACCACAGATGGACTCAATCAAGTTGTAGAAACATCTCAAGGATAATCAATGAAAACAGGATGCAACTGAGCTCAATTTCGAGTGTCATAGCAAAGGGTCTGAATACTTAGGTAAATAAGGTGTGTGTGTATATATGTATATATATATGTATATATATATATATATTTTAGCAAACATTTCTAAAAACGTGTTTTTGCGTTGTCATTATGGGGTATTGTGTGTAGATTGCTGAGAATGTAATTATTTTTTTCATCCTTTTTAAAATAAGGCTGTAAGGTAACAAAGTGGAAAAAGTCAAGGGGTCTGAATACTTTGAAGGCACTGTACAAGCAAAGGGGATATGGGCATTTATTCATAACACCAATACATAAAATTTCTTGACAGTTGTATGTGTTGCAATAACTGTCATCCGATCAACGTTTATATACCCCCATATCACACACTAACAAACAATTAATTAATTGGTGAGAGAGGTCTCATCACTTTCATTTGTAACACTTGTAGCTTTAGAATCGCGGCAAAGTTGGTTTCTGTTTCAATTCAGTCGTGTTCGCGTGGGTCAACCAAAATCACTCTAATGTGCCTCCCACAATACAGGTGATGGCTGCATGGTGCAGTTGGTGAGAAGTACTGCAGCGACTTAAAGCTGAGAGGAAGAGGAATTCACAACTCGGAGGAAAATCTGTCTCCCTCCAGCAGGTGGCGTTTTCTCGTTATTTCGCCACCAAGCGAGGATCAGAGTGTCAAATTTAGTCAACAAAAAATGAATGGCTTATTTGCTACGTGAGGTTTAATTGATCGAATAGAAGTTTCGTAATGCTTAAGTTGTACTTATATAAGTAGGACACGTAACATCCCGGCAACTTTGAGAAAAAACACTTTATACCGGAGTCGTCTGCATATTCATGTTATGAGTCTGGTAGCATCTCCTTTGAATACCGGCGGTTGACGTCAATAACTAATCAAATGTAAAAATTATAATTACAATAATGAGATGTATCCACCAATCCAAAGAAAAGATAGGCGGGAGCTAGACAGCCAACCGTGTTGCTTTGTTGACAACGACTCCCATTGTTAGGGCGGAGAGACGTGTATCTTGTCGGTATATCCGTAATCTTTGCTTAAAGGCAACCATCAAAAGCTGCATGCCCTTTGATCACATGGTTTTTGTAAAGTAGTCAAGGTTCCTGTCGCTGTAGTTTCCACTAGTTACCACAGCCACAAAGTCAGAATATCACCATATCGTAAATATGAATGTCTTAACTTAAGGTCAGGGTTAGTCATAAGGTTAGCAGTGTGGTTAAGGATAGGGTTGCGGTTAAGGTTTAACGTCAGATTTTGGAAGAAAGGCGGGTTTATGAATTTGGCTGTGTTAACTAGTGACGACCTATCTGTGGCTGTTGTAACTAGTGACGACCCAGTACTGTCTTTGCAGTTAACTTCAACCTAGCTTCCTTTTCCGCTGAAAACCGGATGTGGGAACTCAATAAGGTTTAGCCACAATAGGGGCATTTGCGGATCATCTTCAAAATAAAAGTCCCGCATTGAAAGTGATTCAAACTGATTGAAATTTATTTTAGTCATTTAGCAGACGCTCTTATCCAGAGCGACTTCGAGTTAGTGAGTGCATACATTTTCATACTGGACCCCCGTGGGAAATAGTGGAATCATGCCCTATTTGGACTAGATAATGCTAAAAAGGCCGGAATGTTGTTATAAAAATTAAACAAAAGACAATAATTAGTTAATTTGACACACAAAAAATAAAATCTTGAAATCGCACTGTGGATGTATTAGACTTTAGGATTGCGTGGAGGGCCTAACCTATGGATGTTGCACCCATGAAATTAGGTATCAGCCTACTTATTCAGTGACACTCACAGAACACAACTGTGTAAAGTATACACAAATATATATCTTAGCTCTTATAACAGGATTTTTACTGTGGGAAATCACCTTTCCAGTCAGTCTATTGTGTGTATTGGACATTCATATTGCACTGTGCAGCCTAACCTATGGAATGGCTGAATAGTGAGGTGATTTCCCACAGTTAAAGTTCCCAAATATGAGCTACAACGCTAATATTTGTGTAAACTCTTCAGAATTGTAATCTGTGGGTGTCACCAAGTAGGCTGATACCCCAATTCATGGACCCAAGATACATAAGGCTGTACAGTGCATATAAGTATGCCCCCCACAGGAGGCTGCTGAGGGAGAACGGCTCATAATAATAAATAATTTATTATTATTTTATAATAATGGCCGGAGGGGAGTAAATTGAATGGCATCAAACACATGGAAACCATATGTTTGATGTATTTGACACAATTCCACTCCAGCCATTACCACGAGCCCGTTCTCCCCAATTAAGGTGCCACCATCCTCCTGTGGACTGTGGCCCCAATGCAATTCTAAAGTGTAATACATCCACAGTGCGATTTCAACAAATTAACTAAATATTGTCTTTTGTTGAATTTATATAACATTCCGACCTTATTTAGCATTATCTAGTCCAAATATGGCATGATTCCACTATTTGTATCCGTTTGAATCGCTTTCAATTAGGAGCTTTTATTTTGAAGGCAAGGCGCAAATTCCACTATTGTGGCTAGCTTTATACAGGTCCCAGCTAGCGAGCTAGGAAGCTAACGCGAACTCTGTGCTAGTGTGTTCTGAGAAGATGTCTCCGCTAAGTGATAATCCAGCTGAAAAAGAAAGGTAGGTAATATTAGATGCATATCTCTTGTTTTTCCATGAAACGTTTGTGAATAGAAGTCCTAACGTTACCTGTGAACAGAAAAACAAGCGAAGAGAAGACAGCCATATGTGTTAGCTAAATTAGTTAGCTCACACTAGCTAGCGTGCCAACGAAAATCGGTAGCCAACATTGACGTTAGTTGGCTAGCCATTTTCTTTGTCGTTACAAATGAAAAGACGTATGAACTTGTAATTGTATTGTTGGATGCAGTTGAGGCGGCAGTAGCGCTTGCTAGCTAGCTGTTGCTATTCACGTGACGTGTGCAACCCTACTTGAGTGCACTGAATCCAGATGAAATGAGCTAAATAGCAAATTTAGCAGCTGGCCAATTAGATAGCCATCAAGTTATGAATAGCTAGTTACCTAACATGTTCTTCCTGATTTACTCTGTTGCAGGTTTATCTGCATATACCCTTCCTATGTAAACAGTAAGAAGACCCTAGCAGAGGGGAGACGGATACCTGCTGAAAAGGTAAACCAAATCTGCAACATTGTTCTAATTTATTTGGTTCAATGCATGGTGGACCACTTGCTATTGCCGATCTATCTTGGTAAATTGACACATACACACCACTATGGTCTACCTTTACCACAAGTATACACTTCTTGATACTGATTCATTATAGCCTATGTCAGCCAAACTCAATTGGTGGTCCGGATCCAGAGAAGGGTCAATCCGGACCCGACAACATCGCATTTTGTTATATAAAAGTAAATACATTATTTTTAAACGGCTTTTAAAAAATCAACGGGCGCAGTGGCCTCTTTAACTCAGCGGCCTCTCGCTCTCCCTCGAAGCAACGCCCACCTCTACTAGTGCCCTTTCTAATCCAATCGCGTGGTTATATGCAAATATAAGAGGCCGCGTTTTACCCTATCACATTAATCAAAATATCCTTAGCGGAACCTTGGGACAAACAGGCAGAAATATTTGGCCGCGGTTCAACTGTAAATATCACAGAAAGAAGGAGCTTAGTTACCAGTATCTTTGTTAATATGGCTTGTTCAAAAAAATGAAAAGTTTACTCTGAAAACCGTATGTTCAAAGACGAGTGGACGGAACAGTATTTATTTATTCTCCCCGCAACTAGCACAAAACCAATTTGCCTGATATGCATTGAGTCCGTAGCTCTCGTGAAAAGTGCCAATGTTAAGCGCCATTATGACACCAGGCATAGTAAATTCGATCAGACGTATCCCCTGAACACGGAGGTGAGAACAAACAAGATTAACCAACTCAAATCCCAATAAGTCCTTTAAGATTCCCTGACAGCCCAATAACGTGCAATGGCGTGTTCACTGAGGATAGCTTGGGTTTTGGGAAAACACACACAAAATAAAAACTTTTTCAGACGCTGAGATGGTAAAATAGTGCATATGTGAAGTTGCTGACACCTTGCTTGAAGCTAAACAAAAAGATGAGGTCAGGGAAGAAAATGTGGCTTTGAAGGAGCAGGTTGGTGATTGTGGCCCTGTCACTTTCTGGGGAAAGATGGTGCCTGCAGCTGATGTCCCTGTTCTCAAGAAACTGGCACTATACATCCTGACCATGTTTGGCTCCACATAACAGCTGTGAATCAGCCTTCTCCACAATTAACTTTTTAATTAAGTTTTAATTAATTCTTAGTCTCATTTAATGTATTTAATGTACATTTTATAAAAAACATGTTTTCTAAGTCGTAGACGACTATGTTTGTTACTACACTGTACCACAGCGCCGATAATGGACATTTGTGTCACTGGACCTTCTCTAATAGTAGTTGAGTACCCCTAGCCTATGTCCTCAAGTGTGTTGAGGGATAAGGCTGACATCTTGGTTTTCCGCTCTGTACTCAACCAGGCAGTGGAGAATCCTACTTGTGCTGAGATCCGTGATGTGTTGACAGCAGCGGGGGCAAATGTTCTTGTGGAGGTAATGACCAATATTACATCAATAATGGATTGCAAAGCTACATATGGTGCTTTACATAGGAGGGGAACTCTTCATTCATTACCATTGTGTAGCTCGCACCTAGGTGATTCGACAACAGCCATTTTCCATCGTCAAACACGTCACCATAAGTTAGGGGTATGGCATTGCCTGATTATAATTCTCTAATTGTTGTTCAATTGACCAACCACAGAACAAGATGTACTCCAGAGAGTGGAACAGAGACGTGACATTCAGAGGAAGAGTACGTGTTCAGTTAAAGCAGGAGGATGGAACTCTCTGCTCAGACAAGTTTGCATCACGTGAGTTTGTGAAGGGGAGGAGCAATGGCCTATGGTTCAAATTAGCCAAACTGGAAGCAATGCAGTCTGTTTTCACCATCAACCGGTCTCACAACGCACAGTTGTGTGTGTGACACCATTTACTTTTTTTTTAATGCTTTGCTTTCCTTCTGATTGTCCCTAAAGGTAAAGACGTGATGATCTACTGTGCTGAGATGATCCCCAAACTGAAGACCAGGACCCAGAAGGGTGCAGGGGCAGACTCAGGCTCCCAGCAAGGGGAGGGCAGCAAGAAAAGCAAGAAGAAGAGGAAGTAGAGGCCCTGTCCAGTCACACAAAGGTCCCCATATTACTGTTCAGTTTACTGTAAGAAACCAAGCAAGGAAGGAAGTCTGTCACAAGGAACTGGCAAGTGTCAAACCGAAAGAGTGAGAAAATACAAATGTATGTGAGGTAATTATTTTGTATAGGCCCGTATGTATGATGCTATGATGTGATATGCCATCAGTCACATGTAAACATGTATATTTTGTGAATGTTATGTATACATCAAAGTATTCTGTTTCAATTGCTGATTGACTGCCCTGTGGTCTTAGGGAAATGAAAGTCAAATAAACAATGATTGCTTCCACTTTGTTCTGACAGTGAGAATCAATTGTATTATTCTAGTCAAGCTATTATGACACTTAACTTTTTCTTTTACCCATCCCTTATTTGCATTATTATTTTTTTTTACAGATATTTCTTTCCTCATCTGTGTCTATATAAAATAAATAAATGACTTGAGGTCACACATACAAAGCATGTCAAATGTTTTCACTTGTTTCAATTTATTTAGGCAGGTTTCATGCTTAGTTTTTAACTATACTGAACAAAAATATAAACGCAACATGCAAAAATGTCATTGCTTTTCCTGAGTTATATTTCATATGAGGAAATTGGTCAATTCAAATAAATTCATTAGGCGCTAATCTATGGATTTCACATGACTGGGAGTAAGATATGCATCGGTTGGTCAAACATACTTAAAAAAAAATAATAGGCCTCACAATGGGTCTTGGGATCTCGTCACTGTATTTTTGTGCATTCAAATTGCCATTGATAAAATGCAATTGTGTCCGTAGCTTATGCCTGCCCATATACCCCACTGCCATCATGGGGCACTATTCACAACATTGACATTAGCAAACCGCTCGCCCACATGACACCATACACATGGTCTGCGGTTTTGAGGCTGGTTGGACGTACTACCAAATTAATTAAAGCGACGTTGGAGGCGGCTTATAGTAGAGAAATGAACATTAAATTATCTGGCAACAGCTCTGGGTGACATTCCTGCAGTCAGCATGCCAATTGCACGTTCCCTCAACTTGAGGCATCTATGTCATTGTGTTGTGTGACAAACCTGCACATTTTATAGTGGCCTTTTATTGTCCCCAGCACAAGGTGCACCTGTGTAATGATTATGCTGTTTAGTCAGCTTCTTCATATGCCACACCCGTCAGGTGGATGGATTATCTTGGCAAATGAGAAATGTTCACTAACAGGGATGTAAACAAATATGTGCACAAAACTTGAGAGAAATAAGCTTTTTGTGCTTATGGAACATTTCTGGGATCTTTTATTTCAGCTCATGAAACATGGGACCAACACTTTACATGTTGCGTTCATATTTTTGTTCAGTGTATAATGTAATGAATTGAGATTCAATGTTTTGTTCAGTCAACACCATAGACCTACATCTATCCAGTGTTTCTGCTTTTATTTGATGATGACACGGCAGTGCTTATTCTAATAATAATATGCCATTTAGCAGACGCTTTTATCCAAAGCGACTTACAGTCATGCGTGCATTCATTTTTTGTGTGTACGTGTGGTCCCGGGGATCGAACCCACTACCTTGGCATTACAAGCGCCGTGCTCTACCAGCTGAGCTACAGAGGACCATTCTAAGATTGTGCAGAGTTGTCTCTAATATATGTGGTTAGATTTGGGGTATTTTCTTGAGTAATAATTTGCCTACTGGTTATTGGATAGCTGGTGTCAATAGTTGCTCATGTAGTTTCCTGTGGGTTTGTCTCAGTTCTCTGTTGTGCGTTAACCCTGTGGTAACGTTTAGAAAGGAGAGCTCAACGATAATGTAAGGTTGCAAGTTTTCAGTATAATTTTTGGTGAACTCTTGCGTTGCACCTGTTAAGTTATTAACTTAAGTGGAAAATACTGAGGTATTGTGATAATATTTTAAGACAATTGTTTTGCACATAAAATGTAAAGGCCTTAAAAGCCACAGGTTCTGCTAAATTATATTGCATTGTGACAAGTAATATACAAACTAACAAACAACATTCTGAATGTATTGTAGATTGAACAGTTTCAATTCTAATTCAGTTAATTTAGTCTCAGATGGTATATAGACAGTATGAATGTGGCCCTCAATCATGAATGATTATTAGTGACATCACAGGCAACACCTTTGTCATCTGGATAGCTAGAGTCAAGATGAAGAGGACAGTCAACACCATCTGGTTTGTTAACCTGGCTGTGGCTGACCTGCTCTGCTGTGTCTCCATCCCTTTCTCTATGGCTGAAATCATACTGAACCACCACTGGCCCTATGGAAAGGCTATGTGCAAGGTTCTCCCTAACGTCATCGTCCTCAACATGTTCGCCAGGGTCTTCACTCTGGTCCTTATCAGTTTGGACCGCTTTGCCCTGGTCATCCTGCCTGTCTGGGCCCAGAACCACCGGAGCCTCACCCTGGCCTGGCTGCTGTGTGGTCTGGCCTGGGTACTGGCCCTGCTCCTCAGCCTCCCCTCTATGATCTACAGAGGAATAGTAGTCCTTGGAGATATGAACACGACACTGTGCACCTATCACCACCTACTAGACGAAACTGAGGGCAACCAGTCGGCCATTACAGCTATCAAAGCCACCCACGTCACCAGGCTAGTGCTCGGCTTCCTCGTCCCCTGTTGGTCATCGCTGTCTGCTACCTGCTCATCGGCAGGAGGGTGAGCAGTGGCCGCTTTAAATCCCATAGGTCCTTCCGGATCATATTGGGTGTTGTGGCTGTGTTCTTTATGTGCTGGCTGCCGTATCACATCATAGGGCTGGGGCTGGTGATGGAGTATGGAGGGGAGGCCTCGGAAGACATGGCCCAGGCTCTGGAACCCCTGGCCATCTCTCTGGCTTACGTCAACAGCTGCCTCAACCCTCTTCTGTATGTCTTCATGGGTCAGGACTTCAAGGAGAGGGCCAGGGTGTCTCTTAGGAAAATATTTGAGAATGTATTCAGCAAGGATGTGACAATGCGTTCCTCTGTGTACTCTAAAGGACAGTCAGCTGTCACGGTCCACAAACTCATCTGAGGCTCATGTCTAAGTCAGACAAAAAATAAAAGGAAACACTCCTGTGTCATAGTTACACATTATGTAGATGAAAAAGCATGTGTTGGTGTTTTCTGACTGGTTGAGGTACTAAATGAGCATAATCTCATTAAGAAGCAATTAAGAAATTAGACATTGACCAAAACAAAAGATGGTTTGAAGTGCCATAATATGGACTTGGTCTTTTACCAAATATATCTATCTTCTGTATACCACCCCTACCTTGTCAAAACACAACTGATTGGCTCAAACGCATTAAGAATGAAAGAAATTCCACAAATTAACTTTTAACAAGGCACACCTGTTAACTGAAATGCATTCCAGGTGACTACCTCATGAAGCTGGTTAAGAGAATGCCAAGCGTGTGCAAAGCTGTCATCAAGGCAAAGGGTGGCTACTTTGAAGAATCTCAAATATAAAATATATTTTGATTTGTTTAACACTTTTTTGGTTACTACATGATTCCATATGTGTTATTTCATAGTTTTGATGTCTTCACTATTATTCTACAATGTACAAAATAGTAAAAATTAAGAAAAACCCTTGAATGAGTAGGTGTGTCCAAACATTTGACTGGGTACTGTATGTAAATGAGATATTTCTGTATTTCAATTTTAAAAAATGTGCAAAAATTAAGAAAAACATGTTTTCACTTTGTCATTATGGGGTATTGTGTGTAGATGGGTGAGATAGAGAAATCAATTTAATCCATTTTGAATTCAGGCTGTAACACAACAAAATGTGGAATAAGTCAAGAGGTATGAATACTTTCTCAAGGCACTGTAGATGACCAGCAGGGTCAAATAATAATCACTGTGGTTATAGAGGGTGCAACACGTCAGCACCTCAGGAGTAAATTACTCTGTAATGTTCTACTCCGTAATGTTATACTGTACCATCTCCCAATCTTGTACATTTTGTCAAATCATTTCTATTTTGATCCTTGGCCATTGATAATGTATGATTTTACACTTCTCAAACACAGTCACATGATGCTGTATACCAGATATTTTAGTTTATTCTAATTAAATTCTTTTTTTGTAAGAAAAAGCTAACAGCACTCCCTTGCATAGCTTATCTTAACATCAATACATAAGTAGACAGCCTAAACACGTTGACATAGTGTCAATTCAAAGCACAATTCTCGTTAAACTGATGACTGAGAGACTAACTTCTCCTCTCAGATAAAGGAACTAGGCCTATAACTAGGGCTTAACACATTTCTCAGAAACCTCGGAAACTGTCCACATGCATTTTGTCTTTATTCAAATGAGTGGTTTAAATTTCACACACTTTCTGCTCTCTCTATGTTGCCACTGGGTCTGGAGTTGAATTTTACACAGAATAATAGAATATTCATGCAAATGAATTATGTTAAACATTATGAAATTCTATCTATATTCAGGCCCGGAAATTGGGACAATTACACATTTCGATGGTTTCTCTATACTTTCCATACTTTTCTTTCTTGAAAAAACATACCATATTCTGTCAATCTTCATCATGTCTCCTCCCGATCACATTGTATATTCCTCCAACACTCCGAACAAAGTTAAACAACAACAAATTACCCCACCTGTCACCACGACTGTCACTCTGACATACAGTCAAGTCTTCACATACGCCCCTGTACTTATTTTACTTTAAAACAGATGGTCGCCTCAAGACTACGACATGAGTGTTAATGACAAAGTCTGTACAGCATGGCTCTGCAACTAATCATTCGGTGACATCCCATCCATCTGACTTTTTGCCGTACCGTCTCCCTCACAAGAAGTAAAAATCACTTCAGGTATAGTATTTCACCTCAATCTATTGTCTTCATGTCATCATCTAAAATGGAGAAGTTAGTCCTAGTTAACCCTCTATCATTAGTCAGGGTACCAGTCTTTTTAGCTAATATTCCACTCCTTGTCACTCCTGTAAATTTCCAAAGATTGTCTTTGGCAAATGACAGGAGTTGCAATGAGTGGAATGTAATAGCTGAACAGAGATGGCAACCAGGCTAATCTACGTATCATGCCCTCAGTCAGATGGTTTAAAATGATGTAGATTCTAGAATGTAGATTAGAAGGTCATTGACTGGGTATCTTGAAGGCCTGTTGGGTCATCTTGGCCCTTCTGATGTGATTCTCTTCGAAACGCTCCAGCTGCTGGTTCCGATGCTTCAGCCTCCTGAGCCACTCCTCCCGCAGCCTGTTGGAAGGATGATGAACATTACCATCTCTACTTCATAGAGAATCAATCTGATAAAATAATTGACAGTGTGATACATGGAGGACTTGTAATTACAGCATAACATCTATGTAGAATACAACACCAAAACCTATCATGGCTCTATGAAGTGCATTTTCTTATCACCATGTCTAATATTTACACATCTCTTTTGGAGTAAAATATGTTTTCCTCAGCCTTTTTAATGTCCTGCAGCAATGGTCCTTTAACGCAAAGATGACTTTAATAACTAACGCATTGATTTACTAATTAACATAGTGTCACCTCCACTGGTCTCCCTGTCACTCACATAAACAAGATGTTACCATGACACATGATCCTATTCAAACCTACAACATGTCCATCAACAACCACCAAGGGGAATGTTAATAATAAGGATTCCTGGTATTTCAGGCCTCGCGGCTGGCCACATGACACAGATGCCACATTTCGCAATGCTGATCATATCTCTAATGATCAGACAGGGGTTCAAATACTATTTGAAATAATCTCAAGTACTTAATGGACCACCTATAGAGCCATTTTCTGTTTACCATCAAATGTCATGCTCATCCTAACATCAAAATGCTCCTTAGCAGGACGCTGATGTTGGGACTTTGACAAACTGAACAGTGAGTGAGTGATGACCAAGAAAACACACAAGATTGTTGGCTATAACTATGTTCAACAAGTATATTAACCTTCTTGCTTTATCTAACTCTATCAATGATATTTTACCTTGCCACACTGGCTTGCTAGCTGCGATCTGCAATGTTGTAGACGATAACCATCTGATTACGTGTTCATTATTGCACAAGCTGCATTTGAAGTTGCATGTGATCGTATCCACTGCTAGGTAAACAACGACGTTTCTGATGACAAACTGTGCAACTTCTCATGGCGTGGCTGGGAAATGGGTCTATAGAATGGTCCCAGAACGGCAAACTCCGCACACCTGGCACTCCAGGCAGGCTAGAGCAAATGCTCAAAGTATTTTGAACCCAGGTCTGAACACAATACACCAGTGCCTCAGCATTAGGCCTAATGCTAGTAGTGGAGTTATGAGACATACAGTATTTCCTGACCTCTCCACCTTTCTTTCACTCATCCCTCTCTCCCTCCCTCCATCCTCCCCTCGCTGGCAGCAATTACCTTTGCAGTCAGCTATTTCATTTTGTAACGAAGGGGATTTGTGCATCACACAGATACACATATTAATACAGGGAGGATCAGCCTTTAAAGCCCATTGTGTTATTCTGTGTGTGAACAATCAATAGGGCTGCTTTAGAGAGCTCCTCCCAGCTGTTCCAAAGGAAACACATTCTGCTCACATTGATTAGTCACAGGACCAAAGAGGAAGGATTAGGGTGCATTTATAACACTCTACGTTCTAATCCCTACTGACCTTACTGCAGCGGCAGAGCACAGCACACTGCCTGACTGCCTGTCTCCCTGCCTGCCTGCCTACCTACCTGACTGCCTGCATATCTTCCTGCTTGTCTCCCTGCCTGTTTGCCTGCCTGTCTGTAGATAAGCTCTGTAGCCTACCCGCCTCAGCCTGCCATCGTTTAGAACTCATTTGCATGTAATTTATGCTTCAAGGGTGCAAGGCGTGTTGTCTTGGTTACTGTGGGTTAAGTTCTGAGCAGCATCTCAAGAACAGATGCTCATTATGAGGAGATTGGTTCTGATATTAGACTAGTTCCTGTCCTATGCAGAATTTACTTATAGGCTACCAAACCAACAGGCTGTGTTGCAGTAAAGAAACACTGTAGAAAATCCACTTTTCTACAGCACTATTCTTCATAACAGTGATGGTATATAGTTGATAAGGCAGTGTGGCTATTGACAGAGATACTTATTTTGACAAAGCACTGCTCTTCATTCTGGATTCCTCATTCCCCATCATATCGCTGTGACTTTCGATTTTCTCCTCCCAGTATTTCTTTAGCTTGTGTTTATCATGGATCCGAGCCAAGCTCATGTTCTGAAAGAAAGGAAGGAAGGAAGGAAGGAAGGAAGGAAGGAAGGAAGGAAGGAAGGAAGGAAGGAGTAATTTCAATTCAGGATAACATTTTAGCCTGAAACTCAGGCAAATGTTTATCGTTACAATTTTAATGTAAGTATTGATATCTGTGTTAATACAGGGAGTGTATTCTAAATATTACCACTGTGCACTACCTGGTCTCTATTGATTTTATTACTCTTTAATGGAGTCTCTGCTCCCTCATGGTGAGTGTAGGAACATGCTCACTAAATAGTTCATGAGGTACAAACAAACACACACATCGCTGGGAGTTGAGAAACACTTGACAGAGAAACACTTCACAGCTCAGAAACACAGAGAGACAGAAAGACGGGAGACTTACTGCCAAGGTTGGATCAGTGTCCTCTCCTCTCTCTGATGATGAGGGTCTGCGGTGCTGCTATCAGTCTGAAACAGTAGTACACACACTCCCTCTACCTCTCTCTCTCTCTCTCTCTCTCTCTCTCTCTCTCTCTCTCTCTCTCTCTCTCTCTCTCTCTCTCTCTCTCTCTCTCTCTCTCTCTCTCTCTCCCTCTCCTCCCATGGCTGTCTGTGTATTTCTGAAACAATGACACTGGTCAGCCCCCCTGTCCCATTCCGTTCCACTCTGCCAGCGTCGGGACACATTGCTAACAGAGGCAAAAAGGAATTCCACAATTCCCACTCAGACAGTGGGCGTTATGCTCCACACACAAACAGTCTGGTCCATCCGATGACACTGGGCTTAATACAAACCCACCCCAGTGCCGTGGGGCAAGCAGGTGCTTAACCAGGGCTTAGCCAGCCTCCACACCCCCAATGGCCTGAAGAGACCAGGGACAGAGGGACAGCTAATACCCAGGACTGCTGGGGCATGATATTTTTGTCAATGCAATGATGACGGCACGTGTTTCCTTGCAGGTGTTCGTTGTTTGCAGTAATTTGATGTTGTAATATCGCAAACAGACGTGGCAGTTTCACCATTAAGGATTCCAGCTTTAAGTGTTTACTTCTTGAACCCACCCAACCCAGATCTGGTAGCAAACCCCCATCTCAACTACTCAGCCGTTAACCCTTCAATCCAAGTCTACAACCACACAACTGACCACTTTCCCAGGCTCGATTGGTACCACATATAGAGAGCCGGCTGGTGGACAAGATTACCATACCCCCACCATCACAGGAGGTTGGTGGTCCCTTAATTGGGGAGGATGGGCTCATGGTAATGGCTGGAGCGGAATTAGTGGAATGGTATCAAACACATGGTTGCTATGTGTTTGATACCGGTCCAATTGCTCTATCCAGACATTATTATCAGCCATCCTCCCCTCAGCATCCTCCACTGACCACCATGTAACAGCAGCACAGGGTGTTAAGGATCTGGGTGTGCCACCACCACAGGGCTCCTCTCTTTTCTCATGTGGGTGTTTGTGTTAACAATGTTTGTTATCTGAGTCTGGCGGACAGGACAGGGAAGACACCCATAAGGCTTGATTTGATTAAGGTTTGATATGCCAGTATTTTGGCTGGGCAGCTGCCAACCTGGATTTGGCCAAAAGTCGATGGGGTGTGAGACAGTGCGATGTGTGTGGGAGAGGCTGTCTGGTGTGTGTGTGATTAGGGGTTGCGTTTGTGTGTGTGAGGTCATATGAGTGATGGGGTTTTACATCTGGTCTTTATATACTTATCATCATTACTAATCAATGCTAAGCTCTACGGGAAAGGGTGAAGAGTGGAAGGGTAGAATGGGGGATGCGTTGTGGCGGAGTAGGGTGCAGAGTGTGACTGAGAAAGTATTGCGTTAGAGTGTTAGCAGTATAGTTAAATAAAGCCGAGCTTTACAACACATTAAAAAATGTTTCAGGCACTGTGATGACCTACAGTATAAGGACTGTTTCAATGTGATGAAAGTTTCATAATGCTGACTCAGAATGTAAGTGATTTTGTGATTGGACCCAGAGCCCTGTAAGCTTGTACAACCATCCGGTATTCTCGCAAGCTTACAATCAGTTTAGTAATTACGAGGCTAAGAGCCCTGAGCTCAAGACAACAAACCAACAGCTAGAAGCAATATGGGCATAACCCCGAACATGCGCACACAAACGCACACACACACACATGCGCACACGCACGCACACACACACAGTAATTTCCTTGCTATTCCCAGGCCCTTGGCTATACCTGCAGTACAGCCATAAATGCAGATATCGGCAGATCTACGTGCGTGCACGCATGTGGGTGGAGTGGGATTTTTGGTGTATTGGATACCTTTTGGTAACTTGGTATCAGCCTCGCCAGTCCCACTCCCAATGGGGAAATAACAACGTTTTTATTCTTGTCTTTTCATTTTGTGAATGCAAGGAAAAGTTGCCTTCCCTGGCTAGATTTCTCTGGCATCCTGACTAGCTGGCTTTAGCCTGGCTAAAAACATAGCAAGCTAGCTAGCCTTCTTAGTTTCCCACATATCCATGTGAAATAATCAGATTTATAATTAAAAAGATATGCCCTGACAAATATTATTGTACTTGCCGGTGTAACCTAAAACATTATCCCAGTTTGATATGCTGCTTGTGTATCATGTTTTGGTCACAGAGGGAAAAAAGCACATGGCTATTTTGGCTACAGCAGGTTCTACCATTTCACATTAGCCTGTAATCACTAGTTACACTATATATACAAAAGTATGTGGACACCTTGTATTAAATGCATTCTGAAGAAAACTGTGTGATGTAGGCTCCACTAAATATGAAATGCGTTATGAAGAAAATCATGTAGGTCTACTGTTGCCTACACAAGAAAAGGGCCTTTCTGACTATAAGTGCACCAGTCTCCCAAAGTATTAAGTGAAAACAGAAAACATTATTTGCATTAATAAAAAATAAAAATAAACCTATGGCTACTATTATGCACTACATTGCCTTCAAATTAGTGGATTAAGCTATTTTAGCCACACCCATTGCTGACAGGTGTATAAAATCGAGCACACAGCCATGCAATCTCCATAGACAAACATTGACAGTAGAATAGCCTTACTGAAGAGCTCAGTGACTTTCAACATGGCACCGTCATAAGATGCCACCTTTCCAACAAGTCAGTTCATCAAATGAATGCCCTAATAGAGCTGCCCCGGTCAACTGTAAGTGATGTGAAGTGGAAACGTCTAGGAGCAACAACGGCTCAGCCGCGAAGTGGTAGGCCACACAAGCTCACAGAACAGGGCCGCCGAGTGCTGAAGTGCGTAGCGCGTAAAAATGTCCTCGGTTGCAACACTCACTACAGAGTTCCTAACTGCCTCTGGAAGCAACGTCAGCACATTCGTCAGGAGTTTCATGAAATGGGTTTCCATGACCGAACAGCCACACATAAGCCTATGATCACCATGCACAGTGGTGTAAAGCTTGCCGCCATTAGACTCTGGTGGAGTGGAAACGCGTTCTCTGGAGTGATGAATCACGCTTCACCATCTGGCAGTCCGACGGATTAATCTGGGTTTGGCGGATGCCATGAGAACGCTACCTGCCCTCATGCATAGTGCCAACTGTACAGTTTGGTGTAGGAATAATGGTCTGGGGCTGTTTTTCATGGTTCGGGCTAGGCCCCTTAGTTCCAGTGAAGGGAAATCTTAACGCTACAGCATACAATGACATTCTAGACAATTATGTGCTTCCAACTTTGTTGCAACAGTTTGGGGAAGGCCCTTTCCTGTTTCAGCATGACAATGCCCCCGTGAACAAAGCGAGGTCCATACAGAAATGGTTTGTCGAGATCTGAGTGGAAGAACTTGACTGGCCTGCACAGAACCCTGACCTCAACCCCATCAAACACCTTTGGGATGAATTGGAACGCCGACTGCGAGCCAGACCTAATTGCCCAAGATCAGTGCCCGAAGTCACTAATGCTCTTGTGGCTGAATGGAAGCAGATCCCTGCAGCAATATTCCAACATCTAGTGGAAAGGCTGTTAAAGCAGCAAAGGGGGGACCATCTCCACATTAAAGCCCATGATTTTGGAATTAGATGTTCGACGAGCAGGTGTCCACATACTTTTGGTAATGTAGTGTATTTACTTCTAAACAAAATAACTTTTTGGGTGGATTCTTGTTGTTTGGTTTACTGTTTGAACAGTCGCTGAGATTATTTTTGGTTATCAATGCAAAACACGCTATTTTCATGAATAGCATTCATAGCCTACAGATCAGAACAAGGAACTAAGCGACAACACTGCCCCACGGCTGCTCAAGGAATGATACGGTGTGTCTCAATTTACAGGTATAAAAAATTATGTAGAATGCCGGAGCATATTTTGTGACAACAACGACATTGCAACACTCCGACTCTTGTGTCTGCATAGAGTGTGAAGTAAGATTACGGGAGAGAGCTATTGTGTTTAAGTGCAGCCTGATCACTGCAGGGTGCTAAGGGCCTGGCAGGAGCCACTTCTCTGGGTTTACAGGCTGTGAATTTCATTGCTGCCCTATAAAGCAGCCTCTGGCAATCAGGAAGGGCAGTGAGAAGGATCCAGGAGGAAAGAGTGAGAGAGAGTGTAGGAGAGAGAGAGACAGAGAGACTTAAAGATGCACTATGCAGAAATCGCTCTGCCATTTCCTGGTTGCAAAAAAAATAGTTTGCCTAATTTCAGTTTATGTGACAAAACGTGTAGATAATCATCGTAGCATCTAAACCGCTGTGAAATCTATTAAAAATATTGTATTTCAGCTGTTTGATGCTGGTGTACTAAACCGAAAGAACCATAGAAATAGTGCACATAGAAACGATCTACCGCTTCTGAGACTTGCTTTCAATGAGAATGACATATCTATAACTCACATATCTATGTGAATTTGGTTTGGTGTTCCAAAAAGCAAAAAGTTACATATTGCAGGTTTAAGGATCCCACACACCAGTAAGATTGTCAAACGTTTGCTTGCGGAGAGTACTTATAACCTCTGAACAGTGTCGGCAGTCAATCTCTTTTGTGTCCACACCGCACAGACTTTGAAGCCATCAGCCTTGTTAAAATATTCCAAACCACAAGGTGGCAGTAGCGTTGCATTCTTAAGCTTAGTTTGGCAACACTAGTACTTCTGCATTTTGCTTTGTAGGTATCCAATGTTAGCTAGCTAGCTAGCTGCGCAAATGTTGCTATTGTTGTAGAAAGCCCATGTTGATACTAGCCAGATGGCCAGAGCTAAATAACTAGCTAGCAAGATGATGAAGAAACAATTTAATTCACTCTCCATAATCCCAAACTGCCAGTGCCATCCCATAGCCAATGTTGTTGCTAGCTAGCTAATGTTAACTAAACCAACACATTTTCCCCTTTTTGTTGTCACTGATGTTGGTTCCCCCACGTGGAGGTTCGTGCTCTCTGATTGGCTCAAAGTCACTTTGTCGGCCACTGAGGAGCATTGCTATTCTACAAGTAGAAAGGGAAGGTTAGTCGGTACCAGGTACATATTTTGTTTTAGCAAGAGAAGGAACGGCCTCCTACTGTGATAAGTACCTATTGGCAGTCTATCGGCTGTCAGATTCTCTGTTTCATGCTTTAGATAGAGAGAGAGCGCAAGAGAAAGAGTAGACCCAACCTGCCCCATCTGCCGCCCACTGGCCAAGCTCTCACACACGGATGACATTGGACACTGGCCCTAACGAAGACGGATGACAGCAACTCCCCAGGGATTTAACAGTCAGTCTTGTTAACGGGATACATTCATCCATGTTGATGTGGCGGTCTGAGGGGTCTCTAAGCCAGGCAGTGACTCTAAAAGGGGTTGGAAGAGGGAAGGAAATGCCTTATGAATTGTTTTGTGTGTATATACATTTAATACAGACACTTACACACGTGCATGTGCAAGCATGCATGCACACACACTCAACACACATATACAAACACACGCACCAAATCCATTACTCTTCCTGTGATGAGCCATAGAGTTGAGAGTGGGGTTGTATGTCACTCTGCAACAGGAAATAAACGGTGGATGACTTCATGGAAATTCCCATGGTGCAGTAGTGAAAGAATATATATATATATTAACCCCGTGATGGGCTGTCTGCTGGGACGACAGGGCTGATGGGACAGGCTGATTTTCAGAGGGCTGGAGATCATCACCCTCATTACTCCCTTTCACTGCTACTGTTTGTCAAATACTAACATACAGAGACTACACACACACAGACAAAGCCCTGTCTGGGCCCAAAGCTGCACAGATATCACACCACACTAACCAACAGAGAAAAGGCTTGCATAGAGGTTACTAAAGGAAGTTCCCAGCTAACAACAAACGTTCCCACATCTTTAGAGAATGTTCCCTTTACCTAACTGTTTTCACAGGAATGTTCCAGTGACGTGCAAGGACTGTTTCCAAGAGACCATTCCGTTAACTTTCAGAAAACGGGACATAGGAATGTTCTTGCAAAGTTCCCATGAAACGTGTCAAGAACATTAATATCTTATATTCTGAGAACATGGCAACCATGTTCTGTGTATGTTTGGTGGGACATGGATGGAATATTGTCCTTACCCTCAGAAAACTGGACACAGGAATGTTCTTTCAACATTCTAATGGAACGTGTCTTGAACATTAATCTAGGATATTCTGAGAACATGGCAACCACGTTCTGGGTATGTTCTGTTTGACATTTGTTCTCCTAACTCTAATGCCAAAACATGTTAAAGAGGTTCTCAGGAGGTTTTTGCTAACGTACATAGAATGTTTGTCACGATCGTCAGGAACAGATGAGGACCAAGGCGCAGCGTTGCAGGCAAACATACTCTTTAATTAGAGACACGATCAAAACAACAAACGATACGTGACAGTTCACGGTCTAACATAAACAGACTTGAAACAAAATCCCACAACCACGAATGAAAATCATACAGTTTAAATATGGCTCCCAATCAGAGACAACCAACGACAGCTGACACTCGTTGCCTCTGATTGGGAGTCACTCAGGCAAACATAGAAACAGACGAACTAGAACCCCCAACATAAAAATATAACACATAGATCTACACACCCTGGCTCAACATAACAGTGTCCCCAGAGCCAGGGCGTGACAGTACCCCCCCCCTAAAGGCGCGGACTCCGACCGCGTCAACCAAATACCACAGGGGAGGGACCGGGTGGGCACTCCGCCTAGGCGGCGGATCCGGCTCCGGGCCTGATCCCCGCTCCCTCTCCAACCCCCCAAAGTACCCCTGGTCTGGTCTGGCCCCGCTGGCCGGAGCTGGACTGCACACTGATGGAGCGGATTGCTCTAGCTCCGGCGTAAAACATCTGACCAGTGCCGAACCAGGCACCAGTGGAACAGGCACGGGCCGTGCCGGACTGACGACGCCCACCACTGGCTTGGTGTGGAGAACAGGCCGAGCCGGGCTGACGAAGCGCACCACTGACTTGGTGCAGGGAGCAGGAACGGGCCGAGCCGGGCTGACGAAGCGCACCACTGACTTGGCGCGGGGAACAGGCCGAGCCGGGCTGACGAAGCGCACCACTGACTTGGTGCGGGGAGCAGGAACGGGCCGAGCCGGGCTGACGAAGCGCACCACTGACTTGGCGCGGGGAACAGGCCGAGCCGGGCTGACGAAGCGCACCATTGACTTGGTGCGGGGAGCAGGAACGGGCCGAGCCGGGCTGACGAAGCGCACCACTGACTTGGTGCGGGGAGCAGGAACGGGCCGAGCCGGGCTGACGAAGCGCACCACTGACTTGGTGCGGGGAGCAGGAATGGGCCGAGCCGGGCTGACGAAGCGCACCACTGACTTGGTGCGGGGAGCAGGAACAGACCGGACCGTACTGGGGACACACACCACTGGCCCTACACCGGGATCTGGAACGGGCCGGACCGGACTGGTAACACACCCCAGTACCTCTCGCCGTGCCTCTACACCTTCCATCCCCTCTTCGACCAGTGGCCCCCGTAACCTGGCGGCCTCCTCTGCCAACCCGCTGGACCGCTCTATCGCGGCCTCCTGCTGCCCCGACGTCGTGAGCCCCCCCCTAAACATTTTCTGGGGGTCTCTCTTCCCCGTGGGCCAGGCCTCTATAGTTCTCGCCCAACTCTCGCTCTTCTGCCTCCAACTCCCGCTATTCAGCTCCTCAATTGGCTTGACCCAGTCGAAGCTCTTCCTCCATTGTTCCCAAGTCCACTCTCTCTGCTCTTCACTCGGCTTGACCCAGTCGAGGCTGCCACGGAGATCTGCTAGGGATTTCCCTGGCGATGGCTCCTCGACTCGCTGCTTGGTCCAGTTGTGGTGGGATTTTCTGTCACGATCGTCAGGAACAGATGAGGACCAAGGCGCAGCGTTGCAGGCAAACATACTCTTTAATTAGAGACACGATCAAAACAACAAACGATACGTGACAGTTCACGGTCTAACATAAACAGACTTGAAACAAAATCCCACAACCACGAATGAAAATCATACAGTTTAAATATGGCTCCCAATCAGAGACAACCAACGACAGCTGACACTCGTTGCCTCTGATTGGGAGTCACTCAGGCAAACATAGAAACAGACGAACTAGAACCCCCAACATAAAAATATAACACATAGATCTACACACCCTGGCTCAACATAACAGTGTCCCCAGAGCCAGGGCGTGACAATGTTGCCCTAACTAACAGAAAACTGGACACTCAAACATCTGGGGAACATTACGGGTAACATTACAAAAACGTTCTCTTTCCCTAGAATTGTTAGCTGGGTTGAGGGAGAGAAAAAGAGGGTATGGGAAGTATTAAGAGATTGCACATTAGGGTGGGCAGCAGAAAAGAGAGAGAGAGAGATAGGGAGAGGGAGAGAAGGACAGGGAAAAGGGGAGGACAGTATGTGTGTGTGTGTGTGTGTGTGTGTGTGTGTGTGTGTGGTGTGTGTGTGTGTGTGTGTGTGTGTGTGTGTGTGTGTATGTATGTACAGTGCTATGAAAAAGTATTTGCCCCCTTTCTAATTTTCTCTACTTTTGCATATTTGTGAACAAATAACAATTACATATTTATTTCATAAACAAAGTTATGCAACACCCAATTCTCCTGTGTGAAAAAGTAAACTCTGTATTCCACAGTAAGAACATCATATCAAAGGTCAAGCATGGTGGTGGTGGTGTGATGGTTTGGGGATGCTTTGCTTTCTCAGGACCTGGACGACTTGCCTTAATAGAAGGAACCATGAATTCTGCTCTGTATCAGAGAATTCTACAGGGGAATGTCAGACCATCCGTCTGTGAGCTGAAGCTGAAGCGCAGCTGGGTCATGCATCAAGACAATGATCCAAAACACACAATCAAGTCTACATGAAAATTGCTAAAAAGCAACACATTTACAGTTTTGGAATGGCCTAGTCAAAGTCCAGACCTAATCCCAATTGAGATGTTGTGGCAGGACTTGAAACGAGCAGTTCATGCTTGAAAACCCACACGTCACTGAGTTAAAGCAGTTCTGCATGGAAGAGTGGGCCAAAATTCATCCACAGCGACGTGAGAGACTGATCAACAACTACAGGAAGCATTTGGATGGAGTCATTGCAGCTAAAGGTGGCACAACCAGTTATTGAGTGTAAGGGGGCAATTACTTTTTCACACAGGGGAATTGGGTGTTGCATAACTTTGTTTATGAAATAAATATGTAATTGTTGTGTTATTTGTTCACTTATCTAATATTAGGTTTTGGTTGAAGATCTGATAACATTCAGTATCACAAATATGCAAATGAAGAGAAAATTAGAAAGGGGGCAAATACTTTTTTATAGCACTGTATGTGGGTGTGTTTGTCTGTGTGTCTGTGTGTCTGTGTGTCTGTATGTCTGTGTCTGTGTGTCTTCTGGGTGAAAGTGCCCTTGCAGTGAAAGTCAACACTGATGACAGGGCAGGATGCCTGGTGGCTAAGGACTGATAATAGTTAGAATCAGACTGCCCTGATGGCTCCCTGTTTGGGGCAAGAGGGATTCACTCTGGATTTCTCCACTTTAATGTCACACACACACACACACACACACACACACACACACACACACACACACACACACACACACACACACACACACACACACACACACACACACACACACACACACACACACACACACACACACACACATACTGAAGAGTAACAGTTAATCAGAGAGAGTGCTGTGAGCTGTCATTACATTAAAGTCAACTAAGTTGTTCGAATGGAATTTAAATAAAAATGGATTATCATAATATCGGCTGGGAAATTGCTTCATCTAATTACACAAACCATTACTGCCAACCTGTGGAATTCTAACAACATAATTTCTCTCCACTTATGTAAATATCTGCAGTTGTCCATAATGGTCACTCTTCCCAAGCCTGTTAGACCCAGGCATGCAGTCCCAAAGGTACCTACCCGAGCAGATAAAGACACTATACTGTTCTCTCACCACAGGGTGACAATGTAGAGCTGTTAACTCTTCTTCCCTATACAGTTTCCTGCTTCCTGTTTTAAAACTTGTGCTATAACCATAGACAATGATAAAGGACTTCCACTATGCTTCCGCCATTTTAAGTAGTCAAAGTAGTCAACTGGGTGGGGAGTCCTATGGGTTGTAACCTTAATGGCTATGCTGTCACAGACACTTTAATGGCGCAGATATTACTTCTATATCCATCTATATGGCTATAACTTGCATGTTGGTCAGGAGTTGTGATTTGGTCAATCATGACCAAAACCACCTGCCACCTGAAGAGCTTCTTCCCGCGCGCTGTGTCCCTCACCAACCAGCCACCTGGTACACAGTGATCTAATTTTGATTGTGTGTCCCACTTGGATTTTGATCAATGCTGTGCCCAATACAGATTTGTGATGATCAGGTGGAGTTAGGTGCATGGAAGAACTATGGTAAGTGTTTGAAATACCAGGTTAAATTAAACCGAAATAAACAGTTCGTTCCATTTTCATATAATCATCTTTGAACTGACAGTGAATCTATTTCTTATTTTATGAAGTTTTACCACCATATATTTTACCACCAGATTTAACTACATGTCAATGTCAACATCTCCTCATCCCAAGTCTCCCTTCCTTCCTTAACCTTGACTCTCGGGCACATTCAGCAGGACGCAATGTTTTGTTACTTTCAGATAGAAATATGCTATAACAAACATGCCTCTCTGACATGTAGAATACATAATCAACTTGGCTCTATTCATAGCATTCTATCTGCAACGTTTCAAAACTTTTTCGTACTGAACATGGCCCTGGTGTTCTGTATGCATTTTCTGCTGTTATTTCTGCTATGCCAGTGGTAAAAGTGCTGTGCTTTGATGATCTATAAAGTTATTCCACTATAAAGAGCTGCCACTTTCTCTCCCGTCTCAGAACACTTCAAAACCAAGCGTGGAAAGCACAGCTCTCTCTCACATCCATCTGAAGGGAAGCAGAGCTGTGTGAGGAGAGGGGGAAATATAACGTTAGGCTATAAGTGCCACCACACGTTATAGATATGTTCATCATTTAACCATAAACCAACTTGGATAGAAGATCCTAACAGAGCTCAGGCTATACAGTATATCAGCTCACTGAATAAAAACATTAAACGCGTTTTACTGCTAAGAGTGAATTGCTCTATCTCTCTCTCTCTCTCTCTCTCTCTCTCTCTCTCTCTCTCTCTCTCTCTCTCTCTCTCTCTCTCTCTCTCTCTCTCTCTCTCTCTCTCTCTCTCTCTCTCTCTCTCTCTCTCTCTCTGTGTTTCAAGTTTCAATGTCACACGCACAAGTAAAATGAAATGCCAACAATGCAGTAATCAATAACAATGTAATAGAAAAAATAACATAAGGTAGAACAAAAACACGAGAAAATAAAAATAAGAAATAAGAAGAACACGAGAAAGTACAGGAAGTAAGCACACTGTATACAGGGTCAGTCAGTTCCAGTACCATATTTACAATGTGCAGGGATACTGGAGTGATAGAGGTAGATATGTATAGGGGTAAGGTGACTAGGCAACAGGATATATGATAAACAGAGTAGCAGCAGCGTATATGATCATTGTATGTGAGTGGGTGTGTGTAAAGTCAGTATAAATGTAAGTGCGTATTACAGTATGTGTGTGTGATCAAATGATGGAGTGAGTGCTTGTGTGTGTTGGAGTGTCAGTGTGCGTGAGTGTGTAGGGCCCTGAGAGTGTACAATGAGTCAACTCAAGGGTCAACTCTGATAGTCAGTGTAGCCATTTTGCTAGCTATTTAGTTAGCTATTTAGCAATCTTATGGCTTGGGGATAGAAGCTGTTCAGGAGACTGTTGTCAGACTTGATGCACCAGTACCGCTTGCCGTACGGAAGCAGAGAGAACAGTGAGAGTGTGTGTGTGCGCGTATTTGTGTGTGTGTGTTTCATGTGTATGTCTCAGAAGGCATGTGTTCAAAGTCCCATTGCACCAAAACAAGATTTAGAAGCCATGATATAGGCCTACTTGACCACTATTAGTAAGAGTTGTGCCAGACCTGACAGGTATTTTTTATTTTTTTAAATGTCATTTAGCAGACGCTCTTATCCAGAGCGACTTACAGTTAGTGAGTGCATACATTATTTTTATTTTACATACTGGCCCCCCGTGGGAATCGAACCCAAACACCATGCTCTACCAACTGAGCTACATCCCTGCCGGCCATTCCCTCCCCTACCGTGGACGACGCTGGGCCAATTGTGCGCCGCCCCATGGTTCTCCCGGTCGCGGCCGGCTACGACAGAGCCTGGATTCAAACCAGGATCTCTAGTGGCACAGCTAGCACTGCGATGCAGTGCCTTAGACCACTGCGCCACTCGGGAGGTATTGTCTGCTAGGTGGCAGTATAACGTCTGCACAGCTGACTGGGTTTGTTAAGCCAAGCCACTGACTATCACGTAGGAATCATACATCAAACACTGCAAGCATGAGTCTGCCTTTACCTTCATCTCTCATAGACATGACCGATTATAGACCATTTTTAGACAAACACTTGGCATGATGAAGTGATATAGCTTGGTCAGAATATAATGTGTATTTTCATATCCTTTTTGATAGTGTGCCCCTTTCCTCTTAGACCATTCATCTACTGTATGGAACTCTAGCAATGCTTTTTAGAATGTGAGTTAAGCCACTTGATATTGTGACAAATGGCTTCACCTCAATGTGTTACTGGCAGTGTGTGATGAATGTTGGGGTCCAGAAGTGGAAGCTGGAAATGAAATACAGTAATAGTCTACCTACCTGAATGTCCAGCCTGGTCTCATAGACTAGAAGTAACATATTCAAATGCGTATGATATGCTATGTTTGGTATGGTTACTTAAGGCAAAAATGAAAGGAGGGTGATTGGTCAGGGTGGATGGGGTGGCCATATCAAATCAAATCAAATCAAATCAAATCAAATTGTATTGGTCACATGCGCCGAATACAACAGGTGCAGACATTACAGTGAAATGCTTACTTACAGCTCTTAACCAACAGTGCATTTATTTTTAACTAAAAAGTTCAAATAAAACAACAACAAAAAAAGTGACAGTAGGGAGGCTATATATACAGGGGGGTACCGTTGCAGAGTCAATGTGCGGGGGCACCGGCTAGTTGAGGTAGTTGAGGTAATATGTACATGTGGGTAGAGTTAAAGTGACTATGCATAAATAATTAACAGAGTAGCAGCAGCGTAAAAAGGATGGGGTGGGGGGGCAGTGCAAATAGTCCGGGTAGCCATGATTAGCTGTTCAGGAGTCTTATGGCTTGGGGGTAGAAGCTGTTGAGAAGTCTTTTGGACCTAGACTTGGCACTCCGGTCCCGCTTGCCGTGCGGTAGCAGAGAGAACAGTCTATGACTAGGGTGGCTGGAGTCTTTGACAATTTTGAGGGCCTTCCTCTGATACCGCCTGGTATAGAGGTCCTGGATGGCAGGAAGCTTGGCCCCAGTGATGTACTGGGCCATACGCACTACCCTCTGTAGTGCTTTGCGGTCGGAGGCCAAGCAGTTGCCATACCAGGCGGTGATGCAACCAGTCAGGATGCTCTCGATAGTGCAGCTGTAGAATTTTTTGAGGATCTGAGGACCCATGCCAAATCTTTTCAGTCTCCTGAGGGGGAATAGGCTGTGTCGTGCCCTCTTCACGACTGTCTTGGTGTGTTTGGACCATGATAGTTCGTTGGTGATGTGGACACCAAGGAACTTGAAGCTCTCAACCTGTTCCACTACAGCCCCGTCGATGAGAATGGGGGCGTGCTCAGTCCTCTTTTTTTTTCCTGTAGTCCACAATCATCTCCTTTGTCTTGGTCCCGTTGAGGGAGAGGTTGTTGTCCTGGCACCACAACGGCCAGGTCTCTGACCTCCTCCCTATAGGCTGTCTCAATCGTTGTCGGTGATCAGGCCTACCACTGTTGTGTCGTCGGCAAACTTAATGATGGTGTTGGAGTCGTGCCTGGCCATGCAGTCATGGGTGAACAGAGAGTACAGGAGGGGACTGAGCACGCACCCCTGAGGGGCCCCCGTGTTGAGGATCAGTGTGGCAGATGTGTTGTTACCTACCCTTACCACCTGGGGGCGGCCCGTCAGGAAGTCCAGGATCCAGTTGCAGAGGGAGGTGTTTAGTCCCAGGATCCTTAGCTTAGTGATGAGCTTAGAGGGCACTATGGTGTTGAATGCTGAGCTGTAGTCAATGAATAGCATTCTCACGTAGGTGTTCCTCTTGTCCAGGTGGGAAAGGGCAGTGTGGAGTGCAATAGAGATTGTATCATCTGTGGATCTGTTGGGGCGGTATGCAAATTGGAGTGGGTCTAGGGTTTCTGGGATAATGCTGTTGATTGTGAGCCATGACCACCTTTTAAAGCACTTTATGGCTACAGCTCATGCTACCCTTTTTAAGTTTTCCC